GGGTCATCCTATATATATGTGAAGTTCAAGGCGCACCACTCATTGCAAGTCAAACTCTCGCACAAGCAACACGCACTTTCACCGGTGACGATTAGCTACCTCGTGGAAGATATCAATAAGTGTTCAGTGATTTAGTGATTATCCTTTGAAACAATATAAGGTAAGAAATTTTTGAAAATGTTTTTAGCAGTGAGTGAAAATGTGTTTGAAAATTATGTGAAATATACTGACGGGCTGGACGCTTTTGATTCGTGATCCTGTGATATTTATCATTATTTAAGGTGGTTTTGGTGACAAATTTTGTGTAAAAAATAAACAATCGAATTGAGAACCTCCTCCTTTTTGAAGTCGGTTAATTGAGATTCAATAACTTTTATACTAACTGTGATTCCTAAAATATCTAATTTAAATTTCCCGCCACTTTGATGAACGCCTTCCATAATTGTGAAAGTATAACTATCACGACATTATATTAAGACATTGGAACGGAGAAAGTTAAATAATAAAAAATCGCATGTAAACATATTTTTTTGACTAATTAAATGAAAATTTAGGTACATCATTCATAAATCTCATCAGATAGTTTTTCTAAGGCGTTATTAATCTAATAATAATGGTAATAAATTATCTATCAACTTTTTCTTTTTATTCAAAATTTATAAAAAAAAACTAGAATAAATAGATATAAATTAGCATTCGCAGTATATTAATTATATTTAAATTTCTTTAATAATATTTAAGAGTTTATACTAATGCACTTATGGTATTTTCCAAGAAGGTAAATAAACAGTATTTTCTTATCAAACACACTGACAGTTATGTAATAAATCCCATACGCCACGACTCAATTCACACGGCTTCTTTCAAAAGAAGAATAGATGGAAACCTATAGAAAATACATTATACGCCAATAAAGAGAAACAATAGCTGGATGAGGTCACGAGAATTTCACAGTAGTTTGACAGAGGATACGCGCATGCGGTTACCCTGCTACGAACTTTGCACATGTAAATGAGAACCTTCACTTTCTAAAATATGAAAATACGGTCTCATTCAACCCTGAATTAGATATGGTGGACAAAAGCCTCTTATCACGCTTGTCAAAACAATGTCAAGTGATTGATTGTTAAGTTTTAACAATATTTGCAATAGGTAAATTTTATTAGTAAAATACACTGTGTGTATGATCGCAGCAACGGTAGCTGAATTAAAATCTTAACGGTTTACTTCTCTAATTGCTCCAATCAATTAATAGAGCGAATCAAAAGTGGTATTCATGTTCAAGCTCATCAGAATTCAAACGCATCCGCTCATCTCGAAAAAGTAAAACGAAAGTAGTAAACTCATAAATGTACGTTTACATATTTAAAGTATGACACTATTGTTTTATTCGAGAAAATCCTAAAATTCAAATAATAACAATGTGATAAGACTTTAAGATTATTTTATTTCAGTTTAATATATTGCATATAAAATATATAAAAACTATATTGTAACGTAATATTAATGTATTATATATGTTTTATACAGCAAGTTTTTAAATAGCTAATTAAAAGTCTTAAAACGTTCGCGGATAGTGTTGAAAGTGGCGATGAAAGCTGCTGCGATCCGAATGGTCAATACACAGCTCGCGTGCTGTCACTGACGCTACCTACTCGTAGTTTCTCGTATGCTCTAACAGAAATTACGTATTAAAATTACAGCAAAGTTATGCAACGTCTACTTTTTGAGTACCCAAATATCTACACGTAAATGCATAAAATTAAAAATCTCTATATGACGATTGTTAATTTAAACGTTTTAAATAAAAAAGAAAATGATTTTTAAAGTAAACAACTTTCATATTTTTTTAGAAAGCAAACAATACGAATGTACCTATACCAAACAAGTTCTACGACTCGCAGGTCGTAAACCATTCTGATTCATTCCTTTCATATCCAAAAAACTTTAAAGTGAAAGTTGTGACGCCGAGAGGAATCTAGTCATTCACCGGCCGTCAAGTAATAAAATCGCTTAAAGACCGTAATTATGGGTTATCGTTATACAAATGATATTTTAGTAGATATTCATTTTAATCTCGGCAACTTTTTATGATTTAAGCTTATTGATCATTATATTACCTACTTTCTAATATTAGCTAATACCGATATATCATTTAATTTTTATTGTAAATAAAAAACCAATGTATTAAATTCTTAGGTAGGTATATATTTTATAAATAAAAATCTTCAAATTAAATCAACCACTCATAAAAGATTTCAAATTTCTTAAGAAAAAAATAATTAAAGACAAGCGTAACAAAGCTTAAATAAGCATGTTGAAAGCTTACTTAGTCGATAAACGATCTTTCTAATGTCCATACACCATAACTAAGGAAGCATGTGCTATGCATTGGCTAGGTATTGTACCGTTCGGTCTACTTCTTCCGTAACACCCTAATGGCTCAGAAATAGACATCCGTATGTGAACATTTCAACACTCTGAATCTTAATTAATTATATTTAACTAGACATAACTATAAATAGAATATGCAATAATTTAAATTAGTTAATTATATAAACTTATTTAAATAAAAAACGGTGCCTTACAGAACTTCCGTTGAATACGATTAACCATATTAGAGTATCAAATAAAATGCTAATGTTGAACGCTTTACTAAATACATTTCTATTTGTTTGCCAACGTATACTTAAAAACGAATACAAAATGTCCACGGCTGAATAATCAATTCGTGCTCATATCCGCGTGTGAAACACGCAGTGGCAGACTTGTGCACGGTTTTAGAAAGCGGATTGCACGCCGGACCGGTCAGCGAGTGAAAAATGAATCCAAAACGACGAGCGAGAAAACATTTTATATAACATTTTCCTTTTCTCGACGCCTCCCCACTATATAAGAATAAGTTTTCCCAAGAAAACCGTCGTATGAGTGAAATTGAAGACTTTTATTTTTCCAACGCGAATTTACGATGAAAGTAGGGAGCCAGTTCGCCGCGCCGTAATATCAGGTCTGGCCCTCACTCCGAAATTAGAAAAACGTTAACCTTGCGCAGCAGTCGCACACGCGGCCCGCTCGCGCTGCTTTCACCTATCGCCATGTTCCTCGCATCGACAACTCTGCACCTTGCACTACCATCACATATGAAAGACGCACGGAATTGAATATATACTTACCACTGACGAAGAGTGAAATTTTAACATACCTATAAGCCATTCAGTCAATCTCAACATTCTTTTTAACTTGATCAAAATATATTATTTACCTCTGAAAACTAGTGCTAATACAAACTTATCAATTAAGCAATCAAAGAATAATGAACATGGAAAAGAAAACATTTTTTTACTTTTTTAAGCGATAGTGGATTACTATATTTTTAAATGGAAGGCGATAGAAATCATCTATTATGGGTGTAAATGAAATAAGGCTACATCAATAGATACAATCCTTTAGAGCTACGTTTTGTATGGAGGAAAATAAACTTAGGCGATTAGGCTAACTACAAACAAATATGTATTTAAAAAAAAACAAATCGAAAGGGACGCTTTCCAGTGCATGGAAGTTCAGTAGCCTCCGACTCCGCTTCTCAGGGTCACTAGGTCATGCGGTCGGAGCTGCTAACTTTTTGTGACATCTTTAATATATTTATAATAAATAAATTAATGTAGTTTTTTAAAGTTGAAAAACTTACAATGCATGTTATGCATTATTATAAGCTTAAAAAATATTGGTAAAATTAAAATAAATAACATTTTACCACAAGTTGTATTAAAAGAGGTACAAGGCACCTATAAACTGTAGGTAGGTACTTTTTTTTAATTAAAAGAATAATTAACCTTTACGAAACACGAAGTGCTTAATAATTAAGTAGTTTCTTTCCGGACTACTTCCTCCTTTCTCTAGTTTTTAAACATTAATTATATCTATCTTCATAATATCAGGTAATTTGTTAGTTTTACTTATAGTAATTTTAATGTATAATTTCTCTTACAATCTACTCCGGTGTTTAAAGAGCAATAAAATCTATACATAGAACATTAGCGGCACGCCAGGCTTATGCAGCTACAAATTTCTCCTAGACACTCATATATGCAGTGCGCCTAGTAACGACCAGTTGAACAAAAATTATGACATGCTAATTTTTTCTACGTTAAAGCTAAAGCTTTAAAGCAAATTTTAAAAAAATGTTCAGAAACGAATTTAACAAATATCTTGTCAATAAGATAAGTTGAATCTGTGAAGAAAGTATAGTAAAGTACTCAAAAATATTTTATAAAATCATGAACCTCTGACATTAGGTATTTAAGGGTTTAAGCAATAAATTTCTAAAAATGATAATAAAAATCTGTAACATTTATTTGTTATATTCTTCATGTATTATGCTAAAATAAAATATTTATAACATAACATTTTATAATGACTACAATGAAAAACTAAACATTCCATATTCGGAGTTGCCTATGCCATAACCGTTCGTGACCGTTTCTATTAACTTCAATTTATAGAAGTGGCACCTACTGCAGGTGCGAGAGGTGACATCCGAACTACAGTTAGCAAAGACCGGGTCACCTGTATAGAGATTGTCGGTCAAACCGCTAACACACTTCCATACCGGATAGGTGATCAAGCAGCGTATCATACCGCATATAACATCTCCGTGATATCATAATATCAAGACTGCTTTTCTACTAGAAAGTTGTTCACAACATAAAAAGTCCATGCACTTTAAATAAATGCTATCATTAAGTTAATTTTCAAAATTTTATTGTCGATGACGAATACGTAATTATTTTAATGGGTATCCTGTAATTAGTTTCTATCCTCGAAATAAAAGTAAATTTATGAGGAGTCCAAATAGAGACAATTCGTCGGAACACATCATTATTCACTTATGTAATAGAAAACTTTCTAATCTAAGATCGAGCGCTATTTTTAGTTTTGGATTATTTTAAAAAAGTCTTTCCTTACAAAATATTCACGTAAATTATTTTTTTGTCAACAGTATGCATCAAAAGGTGACAGGGTGGGCATTTTTAGCCCTTATCTGCTCGTCGACAATCCTTCACACGCTTGCATACCCGCAGCAGCATGCACCTCTTATTTCTCAGGTATGAATTAAACTTGAAATTATTGCTCCAGTTCGCGTGATTTCTCAAGACTTTTCCGACGATAATATCTTTAAATTTTGTTTCAGGCCACAAGCAATGTAAGAACTCAAAATCCACAGTATTACAGTAACTCATTACCGGTACCTCACAGAGAGCAAATCGCTGAGGAACGTAAATTCGCCGAAAAGTCCAATGCATTGAAGAAAGTAGCACTCGACGACTTAGACGATATCCAAAACAATTCTATATCGGACAGCGGTTCATCATGGTCAAACATGTTAGGTAGGAATCGACACAGAATCAACAAAGGATACTTAAACACATGAAATTTTATTGAATTCCAAATATATTCATTATCTCTAAATTTATCTTTAGGTATGATAATGCAAATGATTTTCAACCCTGCCGGCGCAGTAGGACCAAACAAGAGTGACAATTTGGACACAGATTCACCCTCTCCATCTCCATGGACGTTTTTATTCTCAATGGGTCTCAAAATCCTTACCGCTATTCTAGGAGGGACAACAAACAACACTGGCATTGATAAAGTAGACAACGAATCTTCTCCAATGCAGGTAGATGCCTTATCTTAAAAATAATATTTCATCCAGCGCATGTAAAAGTTTTCAATTAGAAGAATTAGCAATTATGTGTATAAACATTTATTTAACTACAATTCATACTGATCCACTAACATCGACATCATGTAGAGACGCATATGTATTTATACTATATTATATTTATCATATTTGAAACACTAATGTAAAGCACCTATATAAAATTTATTCCTCACATTTAGTAAGCAATCCAATTTAGAATTTAGATATCCACAAATAACTGCAGCCTTCACGTCCTATGACTATCTCACAGAAAATAAGAATATATTTTAAATACAACTTCTTTGAGGTAGTCTAATACTTATTATGTAAATAGAAAAGTATGGTTATGGAGACGGTTTCGCTTCTCGCTTGCTTCAGAGTATATTGGCTGCGGTTCTGTCGACGGTGCTCGGTGCAAAAGATCCCGATCAAGTGGCCTCCATGGCAAAGCAGGCTGGAGAGGTACGCGAGCTATCCTTCCTATCCTTGTGAAATGGACCATATTATTATTGTATTTATTGAAGTAACTTTCGACTTTAATATCACTTAATTCCTCATCTTCACATAATCACATATTATACGAGCTCTGCTTTATAAATGTTAATAAATTACCACATATAGTAATTGGATTAAACTATTTATTTTATTAATTAAATATTATACAATGTATAATTTTTTCACACATTTTTCAATTTTTTTTCAGTTTATCAACATCGTTGTAAATCTTCTGGATGCTCTTAAAACATCGTTCTCGCACCGATCACTAGCCGCTAGATCAATGGGTAGGAAGGACTCTATCAGTGACGCTGCTATCGCCGGTATCGCCATGTTGAAGACATACGTACGATCCTTTAAAACTAATGACGAAAAGTGCCTCCAAAAATATGTGTGTGATGCCAATAACGAATGCTCCACAGATATTGGCCCTAAAAGTGTTTTCTGCCAGCTGGGAACGTAAGTTTTTAACATGTTAATCATTTATCTACTCGCATTATATTAGTAGAATATTTTGGATATGTTTTAATCTATCATCCCGCACTTGACCAACGTGGTGGATTACAGCCCGATTTCCCCTGTATTGAGGGGAGACTGGTGCCCAGCAGTGCCACATTTAAAAGGGCTGAATACAACGTAATTTACTCTTATCCGCGCTAATAATTATCATAGTAAAAATATTTTTTCATGGTATATTTAAGTTACTTTAATGAACTTATTGTTGTAGGTACGCCGCCAGTTTTGTGCTGGAGAGACAATCTGCTGGAACTTTCGATCAATTTTACGAAGCAGGGCGTCGCGGACGTTCAGGCGTAGACTGTCGCCATCTTTACTTAGAGTGTAACGAGGTTTAATTTAAGTGACTTTCCAAAATTAATTATCCATGCCAACAAATATATTTTAAGCTAAAGAAAATAATAGAAACCTTGTGTAAAAATCAGTTAACTTAAAAAGTAATTATTTTAAACAGATTTGGAATTATTTTCCAAATTCAAATTGCTCAATTAGGTCTTGTCAATTGTATTTTTTTTTTTCAACAAAAGCTAGCAGTTTATCCCATCGCACAGTATAAAATGGATAAAGTAAGGTATTATTTATTTAAATTATTTATTTAACTTATTCTAGAAGTTAATGCTTAGGCCCCGCTAAAATACCGCAAAACGTCGTAGCAATCCCTTTTCAAAAGATTTTGTCTAACAGGTCCTTTGAATTTTATAGAATTGGCACTGAATTTGTTTTTTAATTCTGCCAATTATTTGTAATTAACGACTGATGTTTTGAGTGATATAAATAAATTAATATCACATATAGTTAGTAATATTGTGTATATTTTTGTGATCGAGTGATTGAGGACGTCCTTGTGTGATTGTGATTGTAAAATAAACTTTAAAAAATATAAATGAGTTTTATTTTCGCTTTGGTTAAAAAGTTTTCTTTTTCAAGTAAAGAACTGTTTATTCGATAATTCATGAAAAAATTATCAACCGTATACCGTTGTAGCATGTTGCATATTAGATACAGCAGGGGAACTAGAGCGTAATGAACACTTCTTTGCCATAAACCCTGACATTCGCAGTTGTGTGTGGAAACAGATCTGACGATGGATACCATACACTCCCAAATAGGATTGCCAATGAAACAACTGGCAGACAGGTTAGTTAATATAATACACACTTCGATCATACTAATTAAAAAAATTTACAAAGTTATAGTAATTTTACATACGAACTTTTATAGACCGATAAAGAAAAATTTAATAAACCCTCACATCCATACTAATATTATAAATGTGAGTGTGTTTGTTTGTATTTCTTTCACGTCGAAACGGAGTGACGGATTGGCGTGACTTTTTGTGTGGAGATAATTGGAGGGCTGGAGAGTGACATAGGCTACTTTATACCGCGGGAGATTTTGTCTTTCTTCAAAATATTTATGATCAGAATTACTTGAAACTTGGTACTAATGCTCTTCAATAAAATAAATACGTGTTTTATCATTTTTCCAAATTCATCCCATAAGGGGCGTAAAATAGGTGATGAAAGTTTGTATGAAACTATCTTTTAAAGATTTTTTCGTAGTATTAGCACGAGTGAAGCCGCGGGTTCTGCTAGTAATAATATAAATGCGACAGACTTTTTTGGTTAATTCTTTTTTACGCAGGAAAGGATTAATATTTAGAATTTTAAATATATCTATGTACATACAAGCTTTTGTGCCGGATTTTTTAACCTGGTACATCAACTTGTTGTCGTGAGATAATAGCAAAAGGCCGTTGTAAGAAGTTGATGAATAAAAATTAGGCACAAGTCTCTTAAGAATTACAACCAAGATTTAATTTTTTAATAGATACGCCGATTATTCAGGAACCGCACATGATCAGCCTCTATATTACCCGTATGAACCATCTCAGCCAGCTCAAGGGCATATTGTGCCTACAAAACAGTGAGTATCGTACAATATTTAAATATAACATGTAAAATAAGAATGTTTCTGACGTTTTTTTTTTGTTATGACCGCCAATGGTGACGCCGAGCACAGCTCTCTCTTTGTCCACATACTCTTATTGTCTAAGTGTAATGTGGGAAAAATATGAAAATCATTCAGGTTAGAGGAACACTTCTGAACTTTAGACTAATGCTTTAAATTTCCTTATATTATTCATCCGATCCAAGGTTCACATCAAAGCGCTTTAGATCAGCAATAAGTATATATATATATATATATGGCTACGAATAAGCGAATAAATAATGACGATATCGCATGGTTAATCTACCTATCCGTTTAGTAATTTCAGTTTCCTAAAATCTTGGACTTAGCTTTTTTTTTTCAAAATTTGATGTCAGTCACGACATCCTTAAAAAGGTAATATTCCTTTGGTTTTTAAAATTTCTCGCTCCTAGCAGACAATTTTCAACCGTTTATCTCACCAGATTTTACTCAGCATCCTATGTCCTTTAAATTGAGATCGCAGATTCCCATATCCTTCTTCATATAACTCAACCATCGACGTTGAGGCTTTTCTCTTCTCCTATTACAATAACAGTAAAAACACATTGAGTATCAGCTTGCAGCTCATATCCTTATTGCTTATAGATGGTAGTTTTTTGAACGTCCCAAAACATATTTTGTTACATATTGTTAGCGATATCAAATGCAGAGTCTGTCGCGTTCTTCTTTAGTTTTTATTTTATATTATTGTTTTGTATTGCAAAGCGTGTGTTCTACATTTAGGAACCATTCCCCTGCATGCAACTGCTATTTCCGGGTATCTCAGAAGTATATCCTAAATCAATATTTTTGACAACAAAATGTATCGGCCAAAAGTTTTCTGCACAAGGCATTCGAATTGTCCAGATAAAAATAAATGAACTAAAAACTGATGTTTAGTTAAACTAAGAAACTATATTTTGAATAATAATCGAATAAGTTTCGAGCCCCGAGTTGGTAATTAGTTGAAATTTTTAGAATTTTTTAATAGGTACATTTCTATTAGGCATATAAGTGAAATATAAGTTTTAAATGTAAAATAAATTTCAGCCACTATGGAGGCGGAAGCAGCCACAAAAACAACGCTGCCATGTCAGCTTTAACATTGTTGGCATTTCTATTCTTTTTGCATATTCTTCAACAATGTTTAAAAGACCATATGACCGCTATGAGTACGCCGCAAGTAATGATAATGACCGGTGGGAGAGATGGCGAGGAAAGCATCGCCAAACAAACCCATAATAAATTCGACAAAACCGGCGAATTCGAAACGGACACTGACAATAAAAGAAATACTTTAGGAAAAACATTATCAGAAAATGGGAATGACGAAAATTATTTAAAAATAACCACTTCTGAAGATGCGCGGTGGAGAAAATCTCAAAAGCATCAAAATACTTTTAAGAAAAATACGGATATTTCTGGTTTTATCAATCCACCCGAAGACTATTAAGTATAAATCATGTGACGGTTAAATTTAAATTTTTAGTAAACACCACAATTAGAACTTGAAATTAAATAAGATGGAAAAATAAAAATCTTTCGTTTGTTTATTTATTTATTATTAAATGACTCATGTACAAGCTTGAAACACTATGTGCAATGGCACGATTTAAATACAATTTATAATGCTATTTTTTTTATTGTATACACTTAACCAACACCACTAACATCAATATACATATATATTTTTGTTAATTTATGTATTTGACCGAAAAATATGCTAAATGGAACAGAGTATTGTCAAATTATAGATTACTCTATTTATATCTAATAAAACAATAGATTAAAAACGAACAATGATAAATCATTGTTCTTATATTTACCCGACTGCAGCAAAACACAAAGGAGGGTTGCGTGTGACCTGTATGTATGTATATATACATATGTCCGACCCAATCATCCCTCGTAATTACTGAACGCATTCGATTCGTCTTGAGAACGTTAGTGTATATAAGGTATATCAATATCATTAATAATTATTAATTATTATAGTCAAAATGGTGGATGTAAGGCGCCAATTTGTCTTGAAAAAAAATGTTCGTCGGAATCAATCGAGTGGGGTATCAAAATACACGTTTCGAGGCGTTTACAAAAACATATACAACTTATATGTTTTAAAGTAATTCAGGATAATAAATTGTCAAATAAAACTAAAAATGTCTAACTGACCAAAACTAAAAAGTTGCAAATAAAAAAAATCCAAAAATAAAAAAAAGCGAACTAAAAAGATGAGAACAAAGAGACAAAAGAACATCGTATTATGCAGTCTGAGACAGATACTCGCAGCTAGCACAAAACATGCAGGTAAGTCTCCGACTACATAATATATGTAAGTTCCTTCGTGAACTTGTTCTCATCGTTTTATTGAGCCTGTTTTTTAGGTGTCACAGTGATTTCTCACGTATTATTAATGTGTGACATGTAAGTTAGAACGATATTTTACTTGTATTTATTAATATGAATAAGAAACGCACCAAAAACTAAGACAATTGTCTTTTTTGAACAAAAATTAAAAACCTAAATGGTTAAAAGCAGACTATCTAATTTTCTAATTTTAAAGCAGGATACGCGCTGTGCAAGATTAAAAAGAGTTATAAATAATGTTATTACCACATTTTCAACAAATTACATATTTTAAAGTAAAATAACGAAGAAAATATAAATAAATAAAATAATGATAACTGAAAAAATCAGTACGTGGAGCTGTAGTCGCACTCACCAAAAAATATTTTAATAATTAGAAATAAAAACCAAAATTATTGATATCGTTTTACTTCCGGCAAAATTTCACACTTATTGATAGATGAATTATGTGACTGTGTATTGTAGTTTATGTATTACTTATAGTCTATTCAAAATCCTTGGGATAGTTAATGAAATAATACTCTTAAGAACCCCAAAAGCAAAATATTTTATTTTTTAAAATCGCCTAACTCTCTCTATATATTTAGTCTGAGTGAGTGCACTGGACCCCATAGTAGGGTCCGTCATTCGAGTCCAGTCCGTCTGTCCTACGACAAAACCGATAGCGCGCATCTTCTCCTGTTCTCTTCTCTCTTCAATGTCCGCCCACCGTACCTGTTTCAATTATAATATGATAAAACCGCTATCACAAAATCCAAACTTACCGTCAATAATTTTTTTTATCTTTAATAATAAATTAATTACCTAGTTGAGTAGGCGATGTTATGCGAATTAAAAAAAACGAATAATTTTTAACATACATATTGTATCCATATACACTAATGACCAATGGAGGTTCAGAACTGAAAGATTGCAGTGGTTTAAAAACTAGTAATAACTTTATTTTTCTTCTACTGCTGTTACTAGAAGAACTACTCCATTTTGGTCTATCTATGTCCAAGATATAATTTTTATGGATGTATCTTTTTTTTAATATTTTATTAAACTTAATTATTTTAGTCATTTTGGTTTTAAAATAAATAGTTTTGAAATACTGGATATTTGAAAAGTTTTTGTTTTTGTCAGCTGACAAGTCATGTCATCTGATCAACTCACCTTTTGTGAATCAATTCTTCTTCATAAAAAAATATCAAGGTGTATTACTATGTATTTATTTTAGTATTTAAATTATTTTCACTTTTCTTAAAGTTGTAAAATACCTAGAAAATTCATATTAATTTATGCATCTTTTAAAATTTGAGCTCAACATGATGTTGGGACTTTCCAAAATGTATCTTTGTTTAAAAAACTATACGACACGGCTAAAACACGCACGCAAATATGAATAAAAATTGACGCAAATCAATTTAAAAAATAAAAAATCGCTTAACATCTATCTCAACTTAAGAATAAAATTATAAATTACAAACGTAATTAATAATATTAACGTTGGAAAAAAATGTTCTCTTTCGTCTCGCTTACCACAACACCTTGATGTTCATATAAGAAAAAAACATGTATCTCCATACTGAGATCATCAAATATGGTACAAAAGCGTAAAAATATTAATATTGCAATATATTTAAATAATCACTCATGAAGAAGATATAGTAATATTTTGAATATACAAAATATAATAAAATGAGAACACGCAATCACAGAGATATAATAATAACTCCTTTGATTTGTATCAGGTGTTCAGAAAAATCACTTCGTAGTTAAGGAATTGTTCGTAAATGTAATAATTCCAGCTTATAATTCCAAATACGTTCGCGAAATCATCGAAAAAACCACCGTTCTCATTTTTTCAATGTAACTCCGAGAAAATCAATATAATTCATTTTAGTAAAGAGAAAATGTAATATGACGGTCTTTATTCCGAATGTTTGTTTAAAATGTGTTATACTTACAGTTTTCTTGCCAGGTTTAGCCTTGTTGGGTTTCCATTCGTCTAGCTGTAGGTAGTCTTCCATTGAAAGTTGCGAGGGCCGGAGCGGTTTGTTGGTGCCGTCGAGTCGAGCTGAAACAATATATCGAGGCATTCAATGGCTAATAATTAAACTCTTTTACACACACTGAGGGAGGGCAAGTGTTTGAGATGATCGTAAAAGTTATATACTTAAATAAATGACACTTATTAGACAAAAAATTCTATGTTTAAGTGACTAAAAAGATACAATATACACATAATATTACATTTATATTTAAAAAAAAGATGTTTACGTTTGCAACCAATTATAAAATTCGATAAATTATATTCGTGGTATGCCAAAAAAAAACTAACAAAGTATAAACAAAAAAGAAGATATCACATATAATCTATTCAATGTTTGTATGATCATCCATATTGTAACGATGAATAAATTAAAAAGATGTCAACAGTATAATATAATAAGCATGACTAATAACCTACCTAGTTGCGCGGCGTCGTCCATTTTCTCCCATTTCGACGTAAAACTACTTTCAACCTGCGGTAGAACAGCTGAGGCATTAAGTATACGCTGAAATAAAAGTTATTAGCCCTAACCTAACTATTGGAAGATTCCATATTGGTGGGACGTTTCGATACAATAACAATGAAAAATGCATGTTATTAGAACATTATAAATCCTGTAACGTAAAACTTATATAGCCCTAAATGTTTCTTGCTTAGAAGTAGGAATAGCGAACCTTTGACATGTTTCCTGTATGTTATAAAAATTGTAAAATAATACAAATAAAAGTAGCAGAATTCGCCATGTCCATACAACGGTTGTTATATGAATCTCACCTCAGTATTTTCAGCGTCTTCCATTGTGACGTCATCAGCGTCTTCCATATGGACCTCTGGAATGGACGCACTTTGCAACAAAGTCGTCGCATCAAGTTGTATGTGGTGTGTGGGAGTTGGGAAAAATCTAGATATAATGACTTCTATGTCCTCCAAAGTCCTGTTATGAATGTTCCTCTTGAAGCACATTTGCGGATCCATTTCCATCGTACAAATGTAGACCTGGAGTTAATGGTAAATATTGATAGTTTACAAAAATTATCTAATAAATAATGTCTATCCTTCTTGAATCTTTAAAGTAGTTAATATAACTGTTAGCGCAGGTCGGTATATAAGATACTCCCCCAACGTGCGTTCACCTGGTCGTGGTGGGGGGGGCTCAGTAGTGCTCAGCAATCCAACCGGGCGCGAAGCTAAGAAACGCACAGGGAGGTTGCCCACTTCGGTGGGCGGTGGGAGGTGGCCCTCTTCGGAGGGCAGTGTACCATGCGGGTTGCTCCTGGTACTTCTCTGATAGCATAGTGGACCTTGGAGCAACCCCATGGTTGTGGTGGTCTGCTTCGGCAGACCTGCCGTCGTAGTTGAATACGTAAGCGATCCTGCGACGCCCCATTAAGACGGGGGAAGGTTTTGTTGGGTTTTAATGGGTAGTACTGGCTGTATTACGCCGGTGAGGCCCACACGTCGTGCGTAAATGCATTTCCCAACGTTAAAAAAAAAAAAAAAGGTCGGTATATAAGATCTCCCCCGATGTGTGTTCAGTGTTCACCTTGTCGTGGTGGGGACACTCATTAGCGTCCGGCAACCCAGCCAGGCGCGAAGCCAAGAGACACACAGAGGAGGACCACTTCGGTGGGCGTAGTTAGCGCGCAAAAGTAGCGTTACTTAAACGCCGGTTTAAATCACAAAGGGCTATACAAAATGTATAAAGTAATTACTAATTAATTCATTATGTAATTAATAAAATAAAATAATTGTTAAACTTATTTCATTTGTCATTAATATATTCTAAAGGGGCTATATATTTGGGTCTTTGTTAAACAAAACGTACCTGGAATCCATTTTGGCGCGAAAAGTTCCAAATATCTGCATAACTCTTTAGTTGTTCATTTACAGAGTCATATATCAAAAATGTGAAATAACCATCAGTAATGCTACGTTTGAAAGCTCTCTTTAGGGAAGTTATGTATGTCTCTTCTAAACTCTCGTCGTATTCATATTTCAGAGATGGCCGTTTTACCTAAAATGATTTAATAGTATTTTTACATATATTACTAGCAGAACCTGCGGCTATGTCCGCGCTCAATCTACAAAAAAATCTTTGGCTTTATGTTAAAAAAGGGGGGTGGGGGTAGCAGAGTGAAAAATACTATACATACCTACCAAATATACAAAAAAAATCATTAAATTTGGTCGTCGTTTCGGAGGAATGCGGCCATAAACACCGTGACACGAGGTATTTATAAGTTCTCACTAACGGTTCTGTTCGTATAATATAATCATCGATAAAAAGTCGCAAAAAAAAGAGCTGAACTCATAAACTACTGCATTTTTAATGTAGATAAATATAAATGTGTTTTGTATTCTTTCTCCCTGAGATAATTCATCTACATTATAAATCATATTATATTACCCTTATAAAATCCATTATAAAATAGAATCTTTTTATATATAACAAAAAAACCATTTGACTTGAAAATTACAAAAGTAGAACCAAAAATCAAAATAAATTCGCGAAAAAATCCGAAAATATAGTTTTATTTAAAATGTCAAGTATTCGCGTAAATCTAAGAAAGTATTATATACTTTAAAATTATTATTATTATAGAATTAGTTTTTTTTTTAAATAAAATTTAATGCTTACAATTTTTCCTGTGGTAGGGTCTTTTTCTTCAATTTCACCCTCTTGCATGAAATAGTCGTCTATAGACATGATCCTGACAGTGCCGCCATGTTCTGCTTCTTTATCTCGTATTAGTTTCGCTAAATACGACTTACCACTGCCGGGAGCACCTGAAATTAAACATACAATTTTCAATAAAATGGAAATATTTTTACAGACATATAGCTATGTATATAATGAGTTATGTTACAAATTGGTTAAAAGAAATAAATATATTATAAAAATAAAAAACCCGACTGCATAAAAGCTAACTAGAAAAAGATGAAAACATGTTCACGAAGGAATATAGTACTTTGCAGTCGGAGACATACACATTTTATCCTTGCTGCAATATGTACATACTCGTATGTATGTCTAAAGCAAGCAAAAAAGCGCTTAAAACGATTTACTTCTCATAACGCACACATTTTTTATTTTTTATGTTGTAAAATTTTTTTTATATAATATGTTCAAGACTTTTATTTTTTTGATATTGACTCATAAAGAATAAATAAAAAAAAAACTTATTGAACAATATACATCTTGTATGGCAGTTATGAGAACTGTTGAATAATATACCTACTTTATTAATATATGTATTAGTAATTTGGCAACATTTTAAATATTAAATTGTACAAACAATGCACAGTTCTTTTTATTTGACATTGATATAGCCTGGATAACACTTCTTGGGCCTTTACTGTGTAATAGCCAATACATATATGAGTACATACCCAGATTGTATAAAATAATATTAATTGAATTTTTCAACCATATACAATTTAATCATTTCAATCATAGCCAATACCAGGTTGATAGTGACATTATAAATAGAAAGGGGATAAGCTTTGAAAAAAGAGTGAGAACATAATAATTGTAAATTAAGGGCTGATTCCTTATTTTTATAAGTATGAAATACATTATTCTTACCTCTTAGGATAATAACGATTTTTTGTGGTCTCATACTTCGTCCAGGAGGTTCTAACAAATCATCAATCATTACTACATGTTGTGGTTTACCGGGTTGATGTTTTGTTGGCTCCTCTCTTGTTTCTCGACTTTTCTTTGAATTGAAACTATCTAAAGAATCATTATCTTTGCTATGTTCACGTTTACGACTATCCTTATCCTTACTTCGACTACGATTTCTTAATTCATCTCTTCTATCTCTAAACCTATCTCTAACAAGATTCCTATCTCTCCCAGATTCTCTATCACGAATTAAATCTCTACCCAAATCTCTATCCCTACCTAGATCCCTTTCTCTACCTAGATCCCTTTCTCTACCTAGATCCCTTTCTCTACCTAGATCCCTTTCTCTACCTAGATCCCTTTCTCTACCTAGATCCCTTTCTCTACCTAGATCCCTTTCTCTACCTAGATCCCTTTCTCTACCCAGATCTCTATCTCTACCCAAATCTCGATCTCTAATTAGCTCCCGTTCTCTAAAAGGTTCTCGTTCTCTTCCATAATCTCTAACATCTCTGAATCGTTCAAAGTCATTTCCTCTATCTTTTCGGTCATAATCGTCTCGTCCAAATCGATCACGATCGTCCCGCCTTCTTTCGTCGTAGCGCTCACTTCCTCGACGATTATATATGTCGTTATCTTCTCTAACATATGCTTTTGACCGTTCTCTGATATCATCTTTTATTGGTCTTTTCTCATAATTTCTATCAAAATTATTCCAGTCATCATCATCTGACCTACGAGATTTTCTTAAAAACAAATCATCTACTTCTTTCCCAAAATCTTTCTGACTGCTTGTTTCATTATCTTTAGACTTATGATTGTAATCAAACATATGGACAGGTTCTATAAAATCACGGGCTAAAAATAAAGTTAATGGATTAATATACATAAATAACAATAAATGCATTCTGGGTAATTTCTCTCATTGTGAATCAATGAGGTAGAACTAAAATTTATCAATATAGTTAACCTATATATAACAAACAATCAATTTAAAAAATAAAATTAATAATAATAACATACACTTTTAGAAGATATTTCTTCTTAAACACAACAGACTGGGTTTGTGTATAATATGTTGACTCAAAAAAATGAAGGTGCAACTGCTAAATTTGAACTAACATGAAATACAAATATACATATAACAGATTTCCTCAAGTTGCCTTTGTATAAATTGTTTTTGTATAAATGTAAATAAATTATAAAAACAAACTTGTTGAAGATGATTACAAATAAACTATTTCCACATAACATATTTTACAGTGCAATTTTATCTAAACCAAATTCAAGCTAAACATCAATTTACCCTTATATTTTATCTTTAAAACCATACCCAATAATAAAAAAAACTCATATAAAACAGTACACCATCAACAAACATTGTGTAACATGAATGCAATAAAACATAAATATATATAGCACTAATATGTATATAAATATATATTATTTATAAAATTCATCATTTTTTAAGCCATTTATAAAATATGTCTAATGATTGTCAATTTTACAATTATAAAAACCATTGTTATTGTATGCAGTTAGTTACCTTTCAATCTTAAAGATTTGTGCTCATAGTCAACTATAATAGATGGTGTGAACAGAGGTTCATCAACCCACTTCGGTTTTGGTGGTTGTATAATTGATTTAGCAATCTCCTGAGTTTTATTACTTTCAAATGCTTCATAGGAAGGGGAATATTCATTAGTGTGCTGAGGTATATTCTGCATTAAAGGTCTAGGTTGAGGAACATTTTGTCTAGGCATCATTTGATTTCCATATTGATTTGGGCCGTCAAAGTAATGCTGCTGTGAAACATCATTCTGTCTATATTCTTCTCTTGCATAATTATTGTGATAAGTAGGCTCAGAATAATTAGTAGTTGCAACTTGATCTCTAATATTTGAATAGTCAGTAGTGTTTTGTTGATTGTACTGCATATTAATATTTTGTTGATCATTATAATCATTTTTGTAATTCTTGTAATTTCCAGTCCATTGTTTACCATCTTGTCTATTTACCCCAATATTAGCTTCATTATGACCAGGCTTTTGGTGCGACATCATAGACAATATATTCATAATTTTTTCATCACCAAGGATATTGTTGATTCCTTTTGATATTTTTGAATAGTCAGGTGCTTGAGACTTTGGTTGGTGTTGCATATTTAGATTATTTTCGTCTGTTATATCTACTACTTCTTGTTTTTTACCAGGAACAGGCCTTTCACCCTCTGGTACTAGATCTAAGCCCGGTATACCTTTCGATTGATTTGTAGGTAAAAAATTAGAGTTTGTAAAAGACTGAGTAGAAACATACTCTTCACTGACTTTTTGAAATGATTCATATCTTTCCTGTTTATCTTGTATTTTGCTACTATTTTTATTAATATTTGAAGTTGGATGTTGAGCCATATTGTATTTCTGGGATGAATATTGCATGCCAGTAGGATTTGCAAAAGTATGCACAGGACTATTTTTTTGCATTAAATTAGATTGTACATTTTGGGGATAATTAGTATTTTGCACTGGAGGAGGTATATCTACTGGAATATTACCTGTGTTTGGAGTATTGGGCACTTGAGAAACATTACCCATAAGACGGGCTCTTTTTTGTTTCATTTGATTACGGCGTTCCAACAATTGAGCTCTGCATGCTTCAAACTTTTGCTCATATTCATTGTACGCTTGCTTGTCTGGATGGTTAACATTTTCTCTTTTCCATTTTTGTATTTCCTCCTCCCACTTTTTAAATTGTATGTCAAATAATCTCTCCTCTTCTGCAAGTTTTTTTAATGCCTCAATATTGACAGATGATCCCATTGCCTGGGTCTCAGAATGGGAATCAGGCGCATAAGACCAATTTTGATTATTGCCACTTATGGTAAGATCATTGTGTTCTCTTTGTGTATTATGTTGAGACTGTTCAAGAGTGGGAACAGGAGTAACATTCGTTTTCGGTTTTCCATATAATGGTTGATCGTTTTCATGAGGAGGCGGTGGTGGTGGCTTATCAGGCGGAGGCGGAGCTGGTGGAGGCGCGGCACTAGAAGGAGGGGCTGGTGGACAACCAGCCATAGCTTGCATAGCCTGCATTTGCTGCGTGTACTAAAAAAGTAATGTCTATTAGAATACAATTAAAATTGTTAAACACTACAATAACTGTCGTATATTCACCTTATCACCATATTGGGTTTGCCATTGTGCATACTGTTGTTGCCACTGCGCCCACTGCTGCCAATTCTGTTGCTGCATAAGTGCCCATTGTTCAGGTGTATAAGAACCCATATTCATGTCTGGCGAAACAGTAAAACTGGGATTCCATTGACCCGAAGTAGGCATGGACCACGCCATTGTTTAGTTAAAAATAATTAAATTTTATGTAATTCAACTGTTTACGTTGTCCGCAATTTGTTAATTATTAATCCTCCAATTAAATCAATATTAATTTGCTTTCATAACACTTGTCGGCCATTTTGATTTACGTTAACATAACGCTGCGCATAGCTTCGACAATGCGGTCTCCGAAGTCCGAACTGTGTCGTAGTGCTGTACAATACAAACTATCGATATCAGATAAGTCTTCGTATAATAAAATGATTTCAAAATACTTGCCTTAAAGGAAAAAAAAAGAATTATCTTAAAATGAGTTTATCTTTTAACATAAATTTTAAAAATATTAGTTATATCACAGGACACAGATCATATAATACTATACTAGTAGTTACAGGTATATAATCATGGTACAAATACGTTTACATTTCAATAAAAGGTACAAAGCAGACAATTATATAGAAATAGATATATAATTCACGAGAATATATTTTTATTTATTCGTTGACCTTTTTTTACTATTTATTAAGACGTGTTTTAAAAATTTAGACTTGCATTACGTTATTCGCAAATTCAAGATTTTGCCAAATAAACTTATTAAACCTTTAATTAAAACTTTAAATTTTAGTATCTATATATGGTATATAAAATTCAAGGTCCTGACTGATTGACTGATAATTCAACGCACAGCCTAAACCGCTGGTCTTAGAGATATTAAATTTAGAGGGTGTGTTCTTTGAAAAGTTTAGGTATCTAATAAGAAAAGGGTTTTTTTTTAAATTCCACCCATAACAGGGTGAAACGGGGCGTAGAATTTTCTGTGAAACTTTTTACTTTCTGGGTCGATTGACTCAAAAATTGGTATACTCTTCAATTAAAATTATGAGACACGTATATCACAGTTTTTCCAAGATTATCTCCCAACAGAGTCAAATAATGCTTCGAAAATCCTACACGGCATAGTAGACGGGCGCATGGTGCAAAAGACATAGTGGAGAGCAGGGGTGTTTCTATATTTATTACTTATAACATAAAGCCAAAGAATTTGTATCGTTTGTAGTTTTAACGCGAGCAAAGCCGTGGGTTTTGCTAATGTTTATATAAAAGGTCATTTTGGTTATACAACACCAAGCAATTTGCTTGTATTAAAAATTGTTCGTGCTCAGTACCCTGGAGGATGTTCTGATTGTGGTCCAACCGATAACGTATTGGAAAAAAAATTGAAGTCATCAGCCGTCCTGTCAGATATTGAATATATTTATTTATTTTCAATCGGTAAGAAAAAATACCATTATGCGTGAAGTTAGTGCTTGTTAAATTTTTCAATTAATATGACGAGCTTCAAACAATCATTTGTTTCGGTGTATTGTGCATAATAAAAGATGATCGGTTTATAAGTAATAGTAAATGTTTTTTTTGTACTATAACATCTCTTATGCTAACTTAAAACCTACACTTTTAGGTTCATTAGTTATAAATATAAAAAAATAGAGTTATTGGTAGATGGATGGTAACAAAGGATCAGTTATTTTCTGGAAGGATAAAGTTTTATACATTAAAAATAAATAAAACTATCTTTTCGAATTTTTTCGAGGATTTATTTGGATTTTTGGTTCCCGATGTTTCAAATGCTTTACAACATTCATGGTCATGGGAGAGTCTCTCTCTCTCCCGTGACCAGAAAATAAAATGTCAAATATTCGCGTAAATCTAAGAAAGTATCTATTAAAAATAAATTATTTTTAAAACAACTTTTAAGAACTAATTAATTTGTAGACATTTTATGTTTTATTATATACCAATTTTACTGCTTTTAAGCACTATGGACTACAATTTATGTTACTTAGTGGATTTTCAAAAAACGAATGACTTCAGCTAAAGTGTGCGTAACAGTTCTATTAACTGTATTAGCTACTTTCTATCTATCTACTTTAATTGGAATCTGCTTTTCGGTTTATATTCTTAATAAGTCTTATTCTAAAAAATATAAATTCTTTAAAATGACCTTCTAAGTACTTATTACTCCTTTATGGATACACCTTAAAGGGTGTATATATTCTACGATTAAAACCAACGTGTACCTTGTTCATTATAAAAAGAACGAAAAAAAAGAAAGTTGGCCCCAAAGGAGAGTTCTCTCAATGGTAAACAGCACAGGTATGAAATTTTTGCCCGTTTTGTACACCATAGCCTGTCTGATGCATCCAGGTTATAAAAATCTCAGCAGTCAAGGCCACAGACACTAAATTTTGTAACTGAATGAAAATTCAAAACATTGGAGCTCTGGATACTCTACGATATTTTTTAAAGAAAATTAGTATATTGACGGTTGCATTGTAATTTATATATTGTAATATTATGTTTAGCCGAACAAAATATTCATTTTTATTTAAGACACAGTGATAGACACGTAATAAACACTAGAAATAAGGATAAACTGGTAACGCCTGTTTTCGCCTTCAAAAGTGAATAGATCGTTTATGGGGCAAGGCGTACGCATGTATAATAAGAATTCCACAATCGATTTTGAGCTTGCTATTTAAACAATTTAAGCACGGTAATGTTATGCATACATTACCGTGATTTAAGTCTAAAATAAAAAGTTATTAGTGAATAAGGCTTATTATACTGTCACGAAATACTTCGCAGATATCAATGAGTGGAATTAATGTCTAGTTGAGTCTCACGTAAGATAAATAGATAATTATTGTATTATTGTAAAGAGCTACTGTTGAGTTTCTTGCTGGCTCTTCTCAGCTGCCTTCCGAGCCCGTGGTAGATTCCTCACAGGCTGACTACACTGACATTTAATTAAATTTAAAAGTAAAATAGACGATTTAAAAGTGCTTGTAAAAGTCTATTTGAATAAACTATATTTTTATTTGTATACGCAAATAATGATTTAGACGCATTCATGGAAAGTAAGAGATTTACAATAATTAAGAAATATATCCAGCGCAAACTAAAAATTTAAATAAATAGATTAATAATAACATAATATTTTTACGTACAACCTTTTATTATAATGTGCTATAAAGAAGAAAATAGACCTTGTCATAAATGGCACCGTGCATTTACATTATACAAAAAATAATGTAAAATCACACACACATACATACATACATACATAATATTTTAATAATATAAATGTGAAAGTGTGTTAGTTTTTCGTTTGTTTATTCTTCTTTCACGTTGAAACAGTAACAAATTAGCGTGAGTTTTGTGTGAAGATAATAGGAGAGTTGGAGAGTGCATAGACTACTTTATACTGGTGGAGATTATTTCATTCCCATGGGAGATCACGTTATAATTTTTAAAATTAATATAACATACACATAAGCTAGAGCTGCTGATAGTTCATTTTTTAAGCAACGAATCATGTCAAATTCGAGCTCGGTGATAGAAACGCCTAGAAATATAGTGGGTCAGAATGCATGCGTTTATTTTAGTTTTCTCGTCAGGTATATATTTTTATTTGTAGGCAGTGGCAGCCTAGTGGTAACGCACTCAGTTGGGAAATCGATGCATTTTAGCATAATTTAATTTTAATTCAATTATCTTTTTGAGGTAGAGTTTTAACTCTTGCTTAATGTTAAGTATGAATTAAGTAATATTCTTTTTTTAATTTTATATTTCATTGTATTAAATATGTATCACATGTATTCTCTTATATTTGATCGTTTTAAATAGGTAATATTTCAAGAGTCAAGCCCGATTATAGACTTACAAATTGTAAAACTTATAAGAAGTTAAGACACTGACTATGAAATAAGTGAAGGACGCTTAATTTAATTCAATCCTTTATAATGGCTACATTGGATACTTTGATTTATATTACATACTAAATCTATACTAATATTATAAAGAGGTAAATTTTGTGAATTGTGAGATTGTGACGTTGTAGGGGTCAATCTCTGGATTTACTGAACCGATTTGGATGAAATTTGGTAAGAAGATAGTTTGAGACCATATGATACTTTTTATCTCGTATATCATCCCTTAAGGGGGTGAAAATGAGGATGAAAGTTTGTATGGGGAATCAAACTAGGGACGAACCCGAGTCCCCCCCAACGTGCGTTCACCTTGTCGTGGTGGGGGGGCTCAGTAGTAGTAGTGAAGCTAAGAAACGCACAGGGAGGTTGCCCACTTCGGTGAGTGGTGGGAGGTGGCCCTCTTCGGGGGGCGGGTATACCTTGCGGGTTGCTCCTGGTACTTCTCTGATAGCAGAGTGGACTGTGGAGCAACCCCATGGTTGTGGTGGTCTGCTTCGGCAGACCTGCCGTCGGGGCGTCGTAGTTGAATACGTAAGCGATCCTGCGACGCCCCATTAAGACGGGGGAAGGTTTTGTTGGGTTTTAGTCGGTAGTACTGGCTGTATTACGCCGGTGAGTCCCACGCGTCGTGAGTAAATGCATTTCCCAACGTTAAAAAAAAAAAAAAGGACGCACCCGAGTGAAGCGAGGGTAAGTGGCTAGTAAGTAGTATAAATCCAAGTGTTAACCACGTAGATAGATACGAGAGAGTGGAATATTTCAGTATTGTCTAAGATTCATTTGGTCAATCAATTCTTGTATCATTATTTATTATAGTATTATTAAGAACAACTATGTACTTTGTAAATGTATCAGCTTTTTCATTAGATCAGCATTTAGGTACGTAAATAGATACAAACATTTAATAATAAAAATATAATCGTAATTAAATTTACGAACTATTATTTAATTGTTATTTCATTATAATATTATATTTTCCTATAGGCAGTGGTAGCCCACAGTAACGAGCTTGCTTGGAAAATCGAGTGAATCTGATTCAAATCCCAGGTCTCGCACTTCTCCCGGGGGAGAAGCCAACTCCTACCGGGCGCGTCCTCAGGTGGTGAATCGGGGAACGCCGCCCGCTTAGAGGGGCAGGTGGTAGCGGAGAAATCCGGCGCGGACCAAATGGCTTGTTGGGGCCGCTTGTCTAGGCCTCGAGCTGAAAGGCTCGGCCAAAGACGTTCCAGCCACCAGTGGTGGGACCGCTTGGTCCCACAACCAGATGATAGGTACCGGTAGCGGGACTGTGGTGGCAGGCCCGCATCCGGCGGAGGGGTAGGCCACGGCGGGAGAGGAGTGCCGGTATTTCGGTGCGCCGTTCTCCCTACCTTATGCAGCCTAGACGTGGCCGCCACTATTTGATGGCGGACGCGGTGGGGCTGCAGGGGAAGAGGAGTGTCGGTGTTTCTTTGCTGCTCTCCCTGTCCTCTGCAGCCGGATGAATGTGGCCCACTTCAGTGGGCGGTGAGGTTTTAATGGGGCTGCTCCGGGTACTTCTCTGCCGTAGTAGAGTGGACTATGGAGCAGCCCCATTGGTTTGGTGGTCTGCCTAATGTTTAGGCAGACCTGCCGCCGGGGCGCCGTAGTAGCTATGCGCAAGCGATCCTACGGCATCCCATTAAGGCGAAGAGGAGAGGAATGTCGGGTTTTGGTGGGTAGTACTGGCTCTTCTAGCCGGTGAGCCCCACATCACCACCTGGGGGATCAGGTTGTATGCGTAAATGCATTTCCCGACTTTAAAAAAAAGGTCTCTCTGATATTTTCATGTGCGAATCATTTCTAACATGATTACCACTTGCCTTATGGTGAAGGAGACACAAGCAAAATAGGCGCATAGTCGTCGAGTTACGGAAAATAGGCCGAACATACCATATCATACCATATGGTGAAGGAAAACGTCGTGATGAAACCTGCATGACTGAGAGAACCTAGCAAGTTTTCCAAAGACGTGAAGTCTTCCGACCCGCACTTGGCCAGCGTGGTGGACTATGTCCCGATCCCCCTCGTAGTGAAGGGAGACCCGAGCCCAGCAGTGGGACGTTAAAAAGGACTTAATGCAATACTTTCATTTTTGAATCGGATTTTGTTTCTTGTTCTTTTTCTAAGATACAAGTAGCCTAAGTTACTCCATAAAACATCAGTTATCTCCCAGTGAAAATCCTGATCTGTCCAAAATCTCTTTGGAGATTAGCCAGAATAAACAGACATACAGATAGACAAATATTTAAGTAAAATTAAATAAATAATATTGTCTTAGAAATACATACTTCTAAAACATATATTTAAATATCAGTTTTTTTGACATTCTTAATGTTGTTTCATTTATTTTCTATTTGGCTAGTAAATGTTTTTTTGAAAATAGGTAAATGACTGAGTACAATACAAAAATAAAATTTTAATACTTTAAAGCATATGTAATTATCTTATTCAATATTGACGATTATATTATTTCAAAATTTTTTTTTTTAAGTAATCTGTATTAAACTGGCACATTAACTGAAAAGTTTACAATTACATATAATTTTAAATCTTAACATATTTAACACTCTTATGTACTGTACTTTTTCAAAGAAAATATATTAACAGAAATATATCTAGTGATTATTATTATTTATAGCTTACAGAAGTAAAAATCAGTTATCGAATTGTTGACATGAATTTTATCGATAACTTTTTCGATATTGTGTTGGTGGATATTTATCACCTCACTCATGAGACGCCATATTTGCGTGATATAGTAGTGACTGTTGTGTGTCGTCTGGTCTATTTACTTTAAATTTCTATTGAAAAATACAGTTTTTAGCCCTTATTTATCTTTCTTTCCAATGTTTAATGTTGTTTATTTGCTAAATAACTTAAAATCTCAACGAATTGCTCTACACTGCAGATAATATCGCCTGCGCGGGAAATGTGGATTGCTACGGTTTGTATTCTCAAAAACTAAAAGTGCCCTGAAAAATATACTGTCGTATTCAAAACAAAAAAGTAGCAAAATGATTGCTTATAAGGGACGGGAAGGCAAAAGAGGAAGAAACTTAAAAATGTCTAGACATTTAGAACGTTTATATAAAGAAGGAAAATGTCGTGATTGTTCAGTTGTGGTAACACGAATGGATTTTGCTAAAATCTTGGGCAAATTTACCAAAGTTAAAATTCAATATGAAAGCAGTTCATCTCCAAAAACCCAAAAGACAGCCGAGAGCCCTGCACCAAATTCAAATGCAAGATTAAAAAACAATGAAAATGGCATGGTACTCATCCATAGAAATGTTTATAGCCAGCACCCTGTAAAAGATTTATCTAATTCCAAGAAACCTAAAATAAATGAAGCATCAACACCACGACAAGTAAGTAATGTATTAAAGGAAAATAATGGTCCTAAAATCACATCACTATTAACAGACAGAAAAACTAACCACAATGAAATGCAAAAACTTAACCAAAATAATAATAAGCATTATGCAATTATATTTAATGACCCTAAATCTAATAACAATATTGATATTAAATGTGATTTAACATTGACTGACTTATTACCAAATATAGACAAAAGAATCTTACCTACAGAAGACTGGTGTATAGATTACTTTCCTAAAAATGATGAGCCTACTGATGATAAAGTATATGACCGTATTGCCGCTGAACTGGAAGATTTAATGTATAATGAAAAACCTGAAGTGAAATACAGTAAATCTGATGCTACAGACAGCAAAGTAGATGATTTTCCATCAATAATGGATATTTTAAATGATAATAGTGCATCTGTTACTAATTCTGAACCAAAAGATCAAAGTAATAATATAGAATTTAAAGGTAATTTAGAGTCCAGTGATGTTGAAGCTATGCTCCTTGGTAAGGCAAATGACAGTAAAATTATTGAACCGTCTCCGTCTATGGAGGTAGATAATACAGATGTTAATAAATTAATTGAAGATGTTGTACAATTCAGTGCGACTGTAGAAATGGAGAAAAAAGAGGTTAATGAATTAAGTGAAGTAGAGAATCCACATAGTCCTTCTATATTAGATGAAGCTTTGCAGAAAGGTATTGAGGAACATTTGCCAAGTCATCATTCACCATTAAAAGACAATAATGCAAATGATAATACTATTAACAAAATACCTGAATTGAATCACAAAACTGAAAATGGTATAGACAATGTTAAAAGTACTATTAATTCAAATAGTAATGAAAATACTGTAAAACCTGAGCCTCTTACTGTTCAAAGTATTTGTCCAGCATTGAAGATTAAAGAAGTAACACATGTAATATTTAAAAAAGTAGTCAATGGTGTATGTCAGAAATCTGTAACGTGCCCTAAAAATCTCAAATATAGCATAGAAATTGAAGAAAAATCTGTTGAATTTTTAGGTGCTCCTAAATATATTTCAAGCTTAGAAGATTTACAGGTATTATTACAAATAGTACATGAGACGGACTTGCAAAGCTTATATATATTTTATTGATTTGCCATGTGAAAAACATTCTCTTGTATGTATATACAAATAATGTAATTTTGTCATACCTAAGTATCAAAGATAACGTGAAAAATATTTTATTTAATAGATAGAAATATTCTATCAAAATCATAATGATATATGCATATATTTCATTTAAATATTTGTTAAATGAAACATTACACATTTGCTTTAAAAATGAAAAAAATTTAAAATCTGTTTTATTATAAGTTCCATAGGTAAAAAACCCTAATATAACATTATACACAAAAAATCAATTGGATATATAATAATAAACATTAATTAATAAATGTCCCAACATTTATTTATTTAATTGGATACATTTATTATAATGACATAACTTGGTGAAAATAATATAGCAAGACATAATAATAAATTATTTATTCATAGAGATTAAATCTTATCATATCCAATAGTGTACACACAAATTTAAAGATAAGATATTATACTAAAAATGTTACAATGGTATGTTACAGATGACGTTCAGAACTGGTATATATTTTTTGTTAGTGTTGCATATAGAGGCCAATAAAATTATTTAGTTAAAATTCTGTATTCTCTTTGGTAACTTAGGTCGGCACTTACTATTCTGAATAAAATATAAAATTAAATTGAGGTATAAAATAAAACTCCCAAGTGAAACATCTGAGTTTCAAATTAAGAGTTTCATTGTTTTTATTAAAACTTAAAGTACTAAGTTATAAGAATCAAATAATGAATGATGTTCAAAATTCTTTAAACCCTAAATACAAAAGTGAGCATCAATCAAGGAAGATAAGCCTATTTTTTTTGTTTTGAGGTTGGTGCTATTCAATATTTTATAACTTAAGTGTTGGCACCAACCTCAAAAAAAATGTACAAAATTATAGTTTTTATTTTTCTTTAATTTCTCTTTTTAAGGTCAGGTAGTAAAACTATTAGTACTTAAAAAAAATATTTAAGGATGGTAACACACATTTAACTGTCCATAATCCATACCTATTTTGAAAACTATTGAACTGATTTAATTAAATTTTTGTTGGTTTAATAGTCGAATTTTAGAGACTAAATCCATTAAAAATTATAATCCGTTTAATAGCTCTCCAAAATTATTAAGAGATAAACATACTAAGATATTAAATTATATTTATTTAGCCATAGGTAACCTTTTTATAAAGTTGGTTAAGTAAATACCTACACATAATACTATTATGAAAAACGCTCCACTTAGATCTTAAATCATTAGTCTTCAGTTTTTTTTTAAAATGAATATACTTGTGATCCAACACCAATAAATAAATATAATTTTGTACAACAAAATTATGTATTTTTCGTCTTTGTAAGAGTATAAATCTCTTCCTGCAAATATATAAATAATTAAGTATTACGAAAGATTCATTCATCAATTCGTTATTTATATTGTCTTGTTATATTTAGTTTTTCCAAGTTTAAGTCTAAAAGTAATATTTTTAAATGGCAATATTAGTCGTATCAGTTCCCCAAAATGTGTAAATATCTACACAAAGCAAATAAATTAAGAAATGGATACAGTTTAATATGGTATATAAATTAATGTTCAATGACTATTGTTATTACTTAGATATCTAACGTGATATGTGTTGTTTGTTTAATATTTTTAGTATATAATTTCAGTACATGTCATTGTTAATTTAACTTTTTTATCTATATTTATGCAACGTTAGGGAAAAGTAACACTGTCATTTTGATAATATTTCTATATTCTATATGATTACCATAGAGAAATATTACGATTACAATAGTATAAGATATTGGCGATGAGCAGATTACCTACCGAAAGAAGCAATATTAAACTATAGGTTCATTTTAAGAGTACTCAATACACCAATCACAGTATACCAATAAAAGATGTTTACAAGAAATTTCCTTTCTAGTAAAAAATAACCTCTCTATAAGATTTTTTGTAAGAATAATCTAAGTAAGCGTTAATATCATTCGGTTTTGTCAATACTATGAGTATCCTTTAACACTTCAAGAAGTATATTTTAATAGGTATTTATTCTTTCAATTTTTACCTGAAATATTTGCGGTTAGAATATTTCCTACGAGCAAATAATTTGCAGAAAGACACTTATTTAGTCTGTGTAATATTTTACTCATTAATTCCAAAATCACCTATTCGAGAAAACTAATTATCGCCAATTTTAAGAACGTTACAAGTCACCGTGGGAATCAACCAACTTACGGGACGCAAACTACCTACACAAAATTAATTCCCACCAACCCAGCCGTCCGTTTCAACTTTCATTTAAAGTGACTTTATAAACAAATTTAAATGTACTACTAAATCTTAAACAAGTAATTGAGTACTTATAACTTAAACTACGCCTTTACGTATTTGTTTTTCAATAGACAAGCGAATCCCATACTCTGACGTAGGTAAATCCGTTACATCTTTTTTTCTTATGAAATTCCATATAAAATAAAAATCTAATATTTTTAGGTCCTATGCACACGACAACTTATTAACATGCGTTGAACGCGCTGTTGACACGCATTGGCATCGACATGAATACAAGCAATTAGCATTTTTTTTTAATTGATCAACGCGGTTCAATATGCGGTGACGGCGTGCGTTCATGATATAGGCGTAGTCGACGATTATATGAAACGTAGTGTGCATATTATTCTACCTTTTAAGTTTATCAGTGCATTTAATATAAATTCAAGGGCGCACGTCGACGGCGCGTTAAAAAGTCGTGTGTATACGCCCTTATCTTGAAAATACGGCGTTTTAATTCCAATATTTTAATCATAATTGGAATCGTTGGTTAGCTATCGTTGTAATATAAATATCAGAAATTACAATTAATACTTCTTAATTGTGTACTGTTATTTTATTATATAAAATCTAAAAGAAAATATTTATACATTTTGACAGTATAAGAGTACAGTCACAGACGACCACTTTATGTAGTAGCATCAATGCGAAAGTGCTTGTTGGGTTTCGCATAATATAATATGATAAATACATTTTGGGTCGCCTGAATTTTGCATGCTTTAATTAAGCATAGTATAAAAATCCATACAGTAGGTGAGGTAAAAATACCTATTGGCTATTTCCACGTCAAACGGTTTCAAAGTTAAAGCACTGTAGAACCTGTCCTTGTCTAGATGCCTTGGTTAGTCGGCTGTATGGGTTAATAGCCTGTGTTTAAATCTATAATGTATTGCATTCACGGTACACGCGATGTTATTGTTATTGAGAGGCTTACAAAAAGATTTATGAATAAAATAATTTAGAACTGTTGCCTGTTTAATTCATTAGGGTTGATAAAATTACTTTTTTATTATTGTTTTCTTATCAAATTTTGCTGTATATCTCTAATGGGGATAGTAATCAAAATTTTTATTCAAATAAATATTTTAGCTAACGAAGAGTTTTGGCCGAGTGCTTGTATTGTTTTATTATTATAATTACGGTAAATATAAATAAGATTAAATATAATTAAATTTTAGATTACACCTTTCTATGTATTAATAACAAATTATAGTTCTCGCCAAACTTTTCGGCAACCCTGAAGTCGGCGCTAGCAAGTCCTCGCGCTCCCGCGACGCGCAGATACATTCGAGTGGCGAATAGTTAACGCAATTATAAATACATGTTATTAAAATAAAGTGTTATATATAATATATATTGTTATTTAGAACTTTTTCATATGCAATGTTTTTTTATAGTTTTAATAAATATAAATAAAATATTAATAAATAAATACTTATTCAATTAATAGGATTTGAAAATTAAATACATTTAATCATCAAAGACATTTTAAATGTGTCGTATACAATTTTTACATGTCGTATGTAAGTATCAATTACATTACAACATCTGCGAGGCATAAATAACAAAAGTTAAACACTTAGAGTATGTATAATCTAAGATTAAACACAACTAAAAGTTACGTAATAAATATTATTACTACTACTAGTTAAGAATTTTGCTACATAATTAAGATTAACGAGCTCTCGCTGCTGGTGAGAAACAATGGGAGACCCGCGGCGATGGCGTCCACTGCGCCCTTTGCCCGATACCCTATTGTTTCGTTCTGCGCATTGCGCAACGGCTCGCTCTAATTGAGGGCGGTCAAAAAGTTTGGCGAGAACTATAATACTAAATATATCTCATAGTATAATGTTCTTTTGGTTAAGAAGCTGACATTTTTTCCTAATATATGTATATAGCTTTTCTTTTTTAATGTTAAATAGTAGTATATTACAAATACACATTGTACTAAGAAATTAATGATAAGATTATTATTCTGTAAAATTAAATACATTTATTAAGTTCATTTTGTTTTTCTATTTATATTTCTAGAGAACAAAGTATGGATAAGTTTTGGTAAATGCACAGTGTTCTTGAGGGTAACTTGTTTGAGTGCCTTCCTTTGTCACAGATATACTGGCTACTTCACAAGCAGCGCTTACTATTTGGTGAAATGGCTGATCTTTATTAAAAACAAGGTATTTTGCCAATGCCCCAACGAAAGCATCGCCAGCACCCTGAAAATATTTCATTTTGAATTTATCAAATATATATAAATTAATCCACCAATAGTTTTTAACTTACGGTCGTATCTATAGGTGTAACTTTATTACATGCCACTTGAATACATTCCTTTGAGTTTTTCGACGCGTAAGCAGCCCCTTTATTTCCCAAAGTAATTATTACTATTTCACATCCACTTTCTAACAGTTTATTTAATGCAGTTTTTATATTTCTGCAATTAAATAAAAATATAATTTTTTTATAATTATATTTTTGAGTATGTAATATTTTTTTATTTCAATTATACCATTTCAATACTTACGATAAATCTACATTAAAATTTACCAGTAAGGAAGCTTCATGTTCATTGACACATAAAATAGTACAATGAGGTAAAATATTTTGGATATCAGTCCTAGCCGGTGCAGCGTTTAGCAATTTAATCTAAAAAACTCATAAAGCATTGTTAATATGATAAAGTTTATATAAACAACATTCATTGGTATAACGAAACTCTTACGCACTTTTCACACTATCGTAAACGACTTGGTAACTTCCGTACATGTAAGCGTTTTCTCAACATGTCGGTAAGTCTAAGATCCATTTAAACGAAAATCACGTAGGTATTCGTGTGAATAGTATTTGGTAAATTGTTTATCTATGTTAATAAAAAAAAGTTAAAAATTTAAGTTTAGTCCCGCTGAACTTATTCTGCCAGTTTTTCTCAAAGTTTTTTTTCAAACTAATGATAAACATATGACTTTCAGTAATTATTATTATACATTAAAAAAAACATTTCGTTTTCCACTTTATTACTACTTACATAGGAGATATAAAAAAGGCAAATATTTATTCTTGTAATTTAAAGAAAGATTATAATTAAATTGTTTAAAAGACACAGTCTACGAACGATCTACGAAACTACCAAGTCTAAAATCATAAAAAACGTTTCAGACCTATTAGACGCGTAATTTACAAAAAAATATGCTTAAATATAGCATAGTTTATGGAAATGTTTTTGAGCGTGCTTATATAATTTTATCTGTGAATAAAGCTTACACCGTTATTAAGTTTGAAAGCTTCAAGGGTGGTCTCAAAAGGAGTTTCCAGCTGCCCAATAAGTATATCTGCAGTTTCAATCAATTGTTTAGCTTCATCTACATCAGATTTAGATAAACGACTGTTAGCTCCAGGAACAATGACAATTTGATTTTCACCATTTTCGGCTACAGAAATTTGGGCTATTCCTGTTGTAACGTCTTGTGTCACCTTTGTATATGTTACGTCTACACCAATATTTTTTAAATAATCCTTGTATTGTTTTCCCCATACATCGTCACCGACCTAATAAAAAAGTAATTTTATTAAGTATAATCAGTATATTAGTTTAAAATTATTTATTGAATCTCGTATAAAACCTACTCTACTAATCATGTATGTGTGCCCGCCTAACTTTGCTGCAGCGACACATTGATTAGCTCCTTTGCCTCCATAGCTGGTTGAAAATTTTGTGCCGTGAATGGTTTCACCTGGATGAGGAAGTCTCGATGAATATCTACAAAGAAATTCAAGAAATATGAAAATACCTATATATAGCTAGTTAAATTAATATTAGGTTATGTTTTCATTATGGAAGAAGAAATACAATTTACGGTTCTAATAAAACTATTTTATATTACAAAAAATTATATTTAAGTACATACACGGTGAAGTCAACGCTGCATGATCCCACAATGACTATTTTAGGTTGATCTTTTAATTCCGACTGCATTTTTGTAGAAAGTACCTTGAAACTGAACCTTTGCCGTTAAAAAAATAGTAGGAATATGTACCTACAATTACTGTAAATATACTCAACTAAAGTGTTTAGTGAAACAATGAACAATCAGCGCACGATAAAGATAAAATTATCATCAATTTGTTTACGTCTACGAATTACGATACAAGTTGTATTTGTCATCCATGGATACAAGCCTTAATAACCATATATTTAAAGTACATAATTTATTACGGCATGGAACAAGATGTCAAATGCATAGATTAAGCAAAAAGTAACTTAGTTTATCATTGACAAAATATTTCTATCTACGAATAAATAATCTTATTATTTATTCGTAAATTTCTATAGCATTTTCGCAACCAGAACAAGTTTTCATAAGTAAATATCAATAATTATGTACCTACCTAACTAATATATGTATTTTTTGTGAACCTCTAGTACTGAAAGTTTTAACTTTACCAATACCTACAATCTACCTTAAAGTACAGTCAACGAGATAACGGATTTGCCTTAAAAAGTTAAAGTCGAAGCATAATTTAGGCGATTTGTTAACTTTTATTTAATATACTTATACAGACACTGGCAGTACCCACGGCTTCGCCCGCGTTCAAACTACTAAAAAACAAACTCTGACACACCGACAGCAGCGTCACCTACCGGGTCCAATTGTGTTTTCAAACCATCCAGGAGCCCATTGAAATATACACACAAAATATCATCCAAATCGGTCCAGCCCTTTAGGAGTAAGGTGACAAACACACATAGACAAGAATTATATATATTTAAGATATTCTATACTTAATTAACCCATTCTATATTAAATAATTTTCACTAATATGGCAAAATAAAGACATAAATTTTGAAGAAACATTTTATCCAACCATAAAATTATGTAGTAAAAAATGACAATGTAGATATATACCAATATAGTCACAAGTCATCCATACTTATAATAAAATTCAAACCAAGTCGAATCTGTCCATAAAATATTTTTTGGAAAATCTTATTGATGTAGACTCTATTATCGATACAAAAGCCGAATCTATAGTTTTTAGAATTTTTGTCAGTCTGTCTGTTACCGCATCACGGGAAAACCACTATATAGTTTTTGATGAAATTTGGTATGGTTATAGCTGATTATCCTGGTCAACATATAGGATACTTTTTACCGCAGGTAAATGTCTAATTTCTGAGAAAAAATCCAAAAATTACAATGTAAGAGTATACTATGTAAAACCTAAGAACTTGGTTTTTGGTTATCTGAACGCGGGCAGAGCCGCGGGCAATGCTAGTTTAATATAAATCAGGACATTTTAATATAAAATGGAAAGAAAAATAAAACTTAAAAATTACATTTCGTTTTGTTATACAGAATGTCTGTTAATTAATCAGCAGAAAATATTACTGTACATGTAAACAAAGGTATCGAGTAGTATTAGTAGTGGGGATCACTGATTCCAGTGTTCCTGGAATGTAAAGGTTGTTAGGTTTATAAATCTCATTGTTTTATAATAAAATGAACTGGTTGCTTCCATAATATATTTTAATTTTTTAAATGTACACTACATATTCTTTAACTTATTGGGCTCTAACGAGTCATATGGTATAACTGGAGTTTTAGGTCTCTTTACTTTCATCATTATTTTGTTGCACCTCCTCTTTCTTAGTCATGTTATCAGCCATTTCTGCATATTTAGTTTGTCTGTAATCATATTTTGCTGCATCTAATAAAACATTTTGCAATAGTAATCTGTTGTTGGACTGCCTATTAGTCAATGATGGATAAGGATGCCCTCTTAATTCTAAAACAACTTTATCAATATTCCTACCATAGTATGCTCTTGGTGCTTTGTACATTTTAGTATATGCTGTGTTACAATTCTCAAACCTAGGTACTAAGACTTTAAATAATTTGTGAACTAGTTCTTTCTCTAATAGCCAATAATCTGCAATTTCCATTGTTGGTTTGTGACAGTCACCATGGTTAATAGCTTCAGTGATGAGCTGTAAAATATAAGTAAAACCATTAGGAAATTTGAAATTTAAAACAGACCAGTTAGTATTTGTATGCCGGTTTTTACTATACCCTTTCGGCATATTGACGCGCTTCATCGCCTCTATGAAAATTCAGTTCAATTCTTTCATATTTAATAAGACCAGTAACAGTTTTACGCAATCTATTAATTCTGCCTTGAGGTCCATCTGCATTTCTAAGACGACGATGTTCAGGTGGTACTTTAATTCGAAGCTTTGATACTAGCTTAGTCACATCAGCTTGATTCATTTTATGACTATTTGCAAAATTTCGGCAATTTGATAAATCTTCAGTTTATAATATATTAAATACTATTATCGATTTTAGGTTATAATTTCCATAGAATAATATTTGTAATTTTGTCTATGCCCTATGGTTATCACAATAAAAAATATTATCAAATAGGTTACAATTTGGAATCATGTAATTTGGCGAATACCACACACTCAGTAGAGATATGAAAAATATCAAACAAAAGTTTAACACTAAATTCTAAATAACGAAAAAAGTATGAAGCTAGATTAAAGGTGTATACTTTGTGACACTTTAGTGAATTTGGTACCAAAAGAATCGCAAAGTTAAACCTTTATTTTGATGTGAAACATTTATTGCCCCATCTACGCCACCGTTCTCGACATATTATGCTCCATTGTAAATCAGGCACATATTTTCCATTCTATATATTCCGTAATTATAATTAAAATAATACGAAAAATAAATTGATTTATTAACAATTATTATTATAGATATATATATATATAAAATTCTATTTTTTTTTATTTTACTAAAACTATTTATTATTTATCTCCATATTTCGTTATAGGTTTTTAATAAAAATAAATTCTAATATTAAGACTTTAACTATCTTTATACAAATTCATAAAAATTCATCGATCTATTTCGGCTAGAAAAAGGACAACGACAAAAAAACACTAATTTTTATTATCCCTGTTTTCCAATTAGAGCGCTTTAGCGGTATAATACTAACTTCGGATGTTCCAACATGGCTCTAACTACGGCAACGCTCCGCTCAATCAAGCATTTTAAAAAGTACTGCATATTGCTTTGGCGTGATGCGCGCAAGAATGCCAACTCAATAGCAGAAATTATGAGAAGTGTTTTTCTTCAAGGTGGCATTGATCAAAATTTTATTTACATTATCGTTAGTAATATTTGTTTATATTTTATTTATATAATTATATATTAATTAGTTATGCATATATTATTATCGATACAAATAAAAAATATATAATTTAATATTTCGACGATATGTATTATTATATATTATATTATTTGTTAGTTATATTTTTTTCTTTCAACACTGAACCTAGTGCCCTCTGCTGACTGCTGGTGCACTTGAAAACTAATTCACGTTCCAATTAAGCATTAGCACACTTCGGCATTGTGCGCCAAAGTATGGAATTATGCTCTGTAATTGGAAAACTGAGTATATTAGCAAATAGCATGAATTACAATTATATGTAATCTGCGATATATTCTGTATATTTTTTCCTAATCTGTATGTCAGATTGACGCTTACTGTCATGGATGACAAATAAAACTTACTGTGTAGTGTACGTCATAGAGTATATTGCTACATATATAAAGTGTACGTCTATGGTTTCAAAATTCAATATCTTTATCAATTTCTGTGTTTTGCAAATTACAAATATTTTTTTCTTTTAAATGTGTAAATAATTCTGTTATCTGAAGATGAACCCATAATTATGAAATAATGGAATTCATATAGGCTGTATTTACCTTAAACTTATTTTCGGTATATATCTCTTCTCAAATGATAATGATTTATTATATTAAGTTTCGTAAATATCGTATGTAAAAATATTTAAAACATGGATTTCTCTAAGGAAAATAACTTAGAATCGTCAGGAGTTTATGAACTTATTACAAAATTGTGTGAGAGAACTGCTACAAAATATTGCTTTCAAAACCGATTGTCCCAAAAGCTTCTAACTGCAAAGTTAAGATCACAGGCATACGAAATCATTTTGAAAAAGTCTTATTCTGAAGATTCAAGTCGGAGATCAGATCCAATTGTAGATTTGTTATCACACAACTTTATTTCTGAACAAAATGTAAAAAATGTTGCTGAATATAAGAGATGTGTTGATTTAAAAAAATGTATAAGTACTTTGCGCAGCACAGATTATGGAGATAAAAAAGAACATATAAATAATGTTTTGAAATTTTTAATTGAATTAAGGAACTCTTCAAAACAAGATCTTTCAGCTGAGATGTTTCAAGTAAGAATAGAAATAATCATTTTACATTATATATTATTAATTACAATTTTAAAAAGGTCATTTAATTTCATTGATAAATTTATAATGCTTTTTAGAATCCTTTTACATTTGGACTTTTGAATGAAATGCTCCCAAAACCAGCACAGGAGATTTTTGGGTCTCCTCAACCATATGCATATTTTCCTGATTTTATATTTGAGCTTCCATATTCATTAAAAAATCAAGATAATACATTGAATGAATATAACTCTTTGTGCTATACACAATATACAGTCAAAAGTTTTGATTCAAGGGCTAGTAAGTATATAATGCCTAAGTTTTTTAATCTTATTAATTTCATAATTATGACTAAGAGTGTAAATGAAATTAAAATAGTGTAAATGAAAATAAATGTTTTCATTATTCAAACTGTTAGACTCATAAATAAATCAAATAGGTAATATATAAGTTAAAAACTATTACACATTTTTGTTTTGTTTTTAATCATCAATAAATGTTATTTGTAGATTTAATAGATAATAAATCTCCAAGTCCAATGGATGTGAAAAGTATTCAAAGCCTAAGTTCATTGCCATCAATGACATCAGTGGTTACTCCATATGGAAGTACATTTAATTTTCCTAGACTGACAGTACCAAGAGATCTTCAAATACCTCTCTCATCCCAATCTACAAATGTGAATGTAAAGGTAATTTATTATTTATTTTAATTACTAGTGTTTTCTTGCAGCTCCACCCGCATAGTACATTAATCACCAACATATCATATACTAAAACCTTCTCCGTAACACGCTGCATCTTATAGTATGAGTATTATTTCAATCACTTCAGTAGTTATTGCAGTATAACCGAACAAAAAAATTGGCTCTCCATTTATTAGTATAGATTAATTATTATTAATTCACATATTATAAGAGTTCTTTCATGTAGGTTTATAAGTTTATATTAATTATTATAATATTAATATCGCTTTTTTAAAGCTCTTAGACCATGATTAAACATTCAATTGTGTAGCCTGGTAAGGGCACAGTTGGTCATGGCAATCTTTAAGAAATTCACTATCTTAAAAAATAAAATTAACAATAAGTTTTATTATATACTTTTCAAAGGAAAGAGTATTATTATTATTTGGAAAATAATAATGTAGTGTTGTTGTTGTGTTGTATGAAAATCTAAATAAAACAATTACATACAATTCAAATTCATTTTTTTTGTTATGTTTTCAGGTTTCTCTTGTTGGTACAAGTGACTCTGACATTTATGAAGTTTTCAGATCAAAATCTAATGAATCAATAGACATATGGGAGTTAGCCTCGCAGGTAGATAAGCAAATACCCGAGGATATTTGGGATGTTGTTTGTGAGTATTGTAGCCTTATTTAAATTTAACATCTGTAAACACATTTATTATATACCAACTTTGTTCAAAACATTTGTCAATAAATTTGTCAAAAGTTTTCATTAAAAAAATGCTTCTTTGAGAAAAAGTAGCATAAATGTCTGCTTAAGTATTTTTGATGTCAGGAAATTGGCACCTCCATCAAGTTCACTTCAGTTTTTGTTTTTTTTTGTAATCTCATTATTATTATCCCATTAATATTATAAATGTGAAAGTTTGGATAGATGTATGTTATTCAATCACATCAGAACAGCTAAACAGATTTGGATGAAAGGCGCAGAGATAGCTTAAAGTCTGGAATAAATAACACATAGGTTACTCTTCACCCCAGAAAAGTGTATGGTTCTCGTGGGATAGTTTCTTTTTCACTGAGTTTTTCTATCCCATACTAACCATTAAAACATGATAATGATGTTCTCCAGACCTATTCTGGCCACGGCGGTCAATCTGATTGCAACTAACCAACTGCGCAGGAGATATTATAGTGCACAAGTGTACGCGCAGACACAAGTGCACTCTCTATTCCTGTCACTCTCATACTCTGGTGGGACGACCACTCGACACGACGATGAGAGTTAAGGCGCAGGACCGACGGCTTTACGTGCTCCCCGAGGCACTGGAGTGAAACACCGCCAATAACCCAACTCCGGGCTGTTACTGAGGCTTGCTATACAGAAATACTCAATAACTAAACTTGGCCCGACCCGGGACTCGAACCCAGGACCTCCAGGTGTGCAGCCGTACATGCTAGCCACTACACCACCGAGGCAGTTAATCATAAAATAATTAATAAAATAAATCGTTAAAACATAGCACTGTTACTGTATAGTAATTCATTTTTATATTCACAGCCAAGATGCCACTAGTTAATGAGAGGCAGTTAATAGCAGGTTCTACAAGAGAAATGAAACTTTGGAGAGAGCTATATGGAAATGAATTGTCTGATCTTAGTGTTATATCTGAGAAACAATTTATAAGGCATACCATGTATCTCATAAGTAAGTTTAACTGTCAAGTAATTTATTTTATAATTATTTTAATTTCTTCACTAATGCTATGTACAGAAACTTGGTGATCTAAATAATATGTTATAATATAATATATATTTATTTCATCATTTATGCTAAAATAGTTGTTATTGACTTATGGAACTCTCTTTTGCTTTTTTTGGTTTTTCACAAAGTCAAAGCTAACCATATAATTAAAGATTTTAGCAAAGACTTGTTCTATCTATATATCAAAGACTTTTTTATTTTTCAGTTGGTATAGAAACAAAATCTTTTCCTTTTTGTGTGGAATCAAATTGTTTTTTCATGAAAGATGATATCATTTTGGAGGCCATATCAAAGGAAACCCTAAAGGGATACATATCACCGTTGCTTCTTGTTGGTACTTATTACAGGCGGCTTTACACTTTTGCCTTTAACCTCATTGTTGATGATCATTTTCATAGCAAAGGACTTGTTTTTGAGGTAATAAATATTAATCTACTGAAGTTATAGAATTTTGCATTGATTAATTTTATAATTATTAAATTTAAATTTTAAAGTTCACCATCAATATAAATTATATTGATGGTGAACACAGTCTATACTCTATACTCCTAACTACACTCGTGAGCAAAAAAATCGACTCAGGACGCACGCTTGCGGTTAAAAAGCTCTAGCAAAAAATCGGAAGCTTTTATTATATTTCTGATTTTAATATCTCAAAGTTCTTTGTTTTAGCTTTAAAATGAGTGGTCTATGTTGTTATTAAAAAATGTTTTCTGGTAAAGAAAAAATATTGAATGAGATGGAGTCTTAAGCAATAAAAAAAGTGATGGTTGACGGTAAAGAAAATACCACGTAAAATTCGTCAAAACAATAATTTAATTAAAATTATTTTTTTAATATTTAGTGTTGCCCCCTCTGGCCCTAATAACAGATCCAATCGCTTTTTCATGGAACGTGGCTATTCCATTCGTCGATTAGCGCTGCTTTGAGGTCCGCCATCGTGTCTGGTGCAGGATTTCTAGCCCGAACTTTTCTTTTAAGATCATCCCACAAATGCTCGATAGGATTTAAGTCCGGGCTACGCGCTGGCCAGTCCATAGCGGCAATTGCGACCTCCTGTAAATACTGCCGGACGGAACTTGCAGTATGTGGACGGGCATTGTCGTGCATTAGGACGAAGTTTTCGCCAATGAAACCGGCGTAGGGAACGACGTGATCCTCTAAAATCTCTTCGATGTATCGGATCGCCGTCAATCCTCCCATTCGACCGCCAGTTTCAATAAAAACCAACTCGGTTTTTGCCTCGCTTGAAATGCCGGCCCACACCATCCAGGAACCTCCTCCAAAAGCAACATTTTCTTTGATACAGCACTGCGCGAATCTTTCCCCAGGTCTTCTGTAGACTCGTCCTCTTCTATCACTACCATGCAAGCACACTCTACTTTCGTCTGACAAGAGAACGGTGCTCCATTGTTCGTCAGTCCAATCAACATGTTCTCTAGCAAAACGTAGGCGGGCTGCTCGGTGGTCTTGGGTTAATTTGGGGCCAGTAGCTGGCCTTTTTGGCTCAAGCCTAGCTGCCTTAAGTCGTCTTCTGATTGTCCAGCCACACACAGCTACTCCTCGCATTTATCTGAGCTCTTGTTGGACTTGAACGCCAGTGAGGGCCCGATTTCTTAACGATGTGCTGACAATAAATCGGTCATCTCTCTCTGATGTGCACCTTTTTCTACCGGAACCGCATCTTCGATTAAAGCCACCAGTCTCTTGGTAACGACGGTAAACTCTGGAAACAGCAGACTGGCTCACGTTCAGTACACGTGCCACTTCACGCTGACTCTGGCCTTGTCGTAATAGGGTGATCGCTTGAGCTGCTGAATCGCTTGTTGTGTCCATTTTCAGGTAGAATTCTTGATTGTTGATAACGGAGATGTGTATCGGTTGACGTTTGACGGCTAACTGATAAGGGTGGGTCAGGTAGATAACCTTTTATATGGGTCAGTAACCCTTAATTAGCACTATTGTAAACAAGCGTAAAAAGGGTGGTTACTGATCACAACATATTGTTGGGTTGTGTGAGCAATAAACCTTACAATATTTTATATCATTTTGAAGCTAATACTAGCAGCTTTAAGATTTTACTATGAAAAAAATATATTTGCTTTCAGTTTTTTTTCCAGTGACTTGCGACTACAGATGTGTCGTCTGAGTCGATTTTTTTGCTCACGAGTGTATATATATAAACTATATATAACTTCTATGTATATTGTTCGTGAAGATTGAAGATAAAGTCCGGTCGCGATGCAAAAAGAATTTACTATGTAGTTTTATCGATAAAAGAGCAAAAAAAGAGCATAATAAATATACCATAAACCAAATTAAAAATTATTTGCTGAGGAATTAATATAATCATAATAAAATAAAATTTTAAATTTTTGTTTAGAAAACATAATATTTTAAGCTTGTCGGGCGTAAATTTGTTTCTTTCTTCAGTTTGTATCAGTCCAGCAGGGGAAAATAACCTCTCTGATGGATGATGGTTTGATTGAAAAAAATTTTTTGCTATTTCTTTTAGAAAGGTATATTGTGTTGCTTCTTTCGAATACTGAACACACATACATGAAAAAAAGATGTACATTATGCGCATTTAATAAGTATGTTACATTAACAATAGGACTTTGAAAATATAAGTCATACATATATAATCGTTAAATAATCGCAATGATAATAATCGACGATTACGATTAATTGTGAAATCGCGAAACCCTAATCCTTTTTCTTAAATAAAAGCAGTATAAGTTACTCCTTATAACATCAGTTGTCTGCCAATGAAAGTCCTGACAAAATCGTCCAGTTGTTTCAGAGTTTAGCCAGAACAAACAGACAGACTGATAGACATTTTTTTTATTACAGGTACGGTATATAATTTCATAGCTCAAGTTCAAGCTGTTATTTTGATATTACATACATACTCTTTAATTTTATTTATTTGTATAGATATATTAGATAATGATTATGTATGGATATAGATATAAAAATCATATTTTCAGGCAGCAAGAGAAATCATAAGGAGGTACTTATTAGAATTTCGACTGAAAGCCACAAAGATTTATGAAGAATGTTTTAAAATTACTTCTCAAGACTTAAATGTTATGCCGACATTACTGCAAATATTATATCACATGGAACCACTGAAGTACGAGATCGAAACTATTGCTTCTATATACAAGATGGTTGACACTGGTAAAGTTGTCATTGTTTCTCTGTATTAAATAATTGTAATTCTAATATAATTGAGAAAGTTTGTGTGTATGTGTGTATATCTATTACTCCATCACTTTATCTGAAAATTACTATACCATTCCATTAGCTGCTTTACAAATTTTGTTTTACTATTTTATATGTATGTCATTTGACGTCTCGGTGGTGTAGTGGCTAACATGTTCCGCTACAGATCCGAAGGTCCTGAGTTCGAGTGCCGGCTCGGGTCAAGTTTAATCAGGGAACGTACCCAAATTACGTAACCCATTTTTGCAATACCTGTATTATATGCCAAACCACCCCTCCTACTCTGTTTTTCACGTAATAATTCATAAATATGGTTTTAAATATTTTTTGCAAACAGAAAGTAAAAAAAATAATTAAATTGGCTTATATTTGTCTATAATAATACGGTGCTTGCCGCGTGACGCCAAGAGTGAGTTTTATAGCTCTAAAAAGCGCGAGATTTCTCTAGCGGAAATTGACTACGTGACGAAGATCTAAGACCTTCCCTCCGGAATCCGCCCCTGTGACCAAGCATGGTATTTTGAAGAATACTATTTACTTTTAATTTGTTCTAATTTTAGAATAATATACTGTATACATATAAGTAAATAAGTCACATATCATAAAATACACAAATATGTATATATGTATATTAATTTCAGATTCAGTGATAATACCACAGGGCGCAGAGTTAATGTCATACCTCTTCAACGAGATATCGCTGGTGACGCATAAACAAACCGCTCTAACGTTATTTGACTCTCTATTTTGTTTATGCAGAGTATATTTCAAGTAAGATGTTTATATTATTATAAGATATATATTTCTAATTTTCTACTTAAGCTATACTACCAGTACTAAGTAGTTTGTTCCATTGGTAAAAGTGTTGAATGGCTATTATATTTATAATATTATCTATACAATATATATACTTATAATAAAATTATAACGGAGCCGAATCTGTTTAAATATTTTTTGAAAAATCTTACTGATATAGTTATTATTATCGATACAGAGGCTGAATATATCGTTTTTAGAATTTTTGTCTATCTTAATGTCTGTCTGTGACCGCATCATGGAAAAAGTACTAGACGAATTTTGATAAAATTTGGTGTGATTATAGCTGTTTTTCCGGGTCAACATATAGATTACTTTTTACTGCAGGAAAATATCTCATCTTTGAGAAATCTATACTAAACGTTAAAACGTAACTAGGACGAACCCGAGTGGAGCAAGGGTGAGTCCCTAGTGTAATATATATATAAATCCTGTTTCCATTTTTTTTTATTGATTACTAAAGCTCGTCAATAGCTACTAAACAAAAAAAGAGAAAAAAGTACTGAACTGTTTAATTCTTTGCCTATTTATATATAACTTACATTCAGAAAACGAATAATTTTTATCCCGTGGAATTAAAGAATACTTATTAACGAATAGGGGAAAGACGTTATATATAAGTAAGGTTTTTAAGAGATAACCATTTTTTTTTCTAACGTTGGGAAATGCATTTACGCACGACGTGTGGGACTCACCGGCGTAATACAGCCAGTAGTAGTAGCGAAGCTAAGCCAGCTTGGAGATTCCCATTCTCGCCTTCTGCGTTCTGCCCAAAATTTAATCCTTAAAATTCCTTCCCACTCCTCTACCTTTTATGGCAACTCCTTTAGTGTTACGGCCTGTCGTCTTTGGAACTCCCTTCCCCGTAACGTTGGGGATGCGAAATCTCTAATGATTTTTAAAAAACGTCTAAAAGAACACTTTTATACGTTTTAATTCCTTCGGATTGCTGCATTATTATTTATTCTGATATTTACTCTTAAATTATATGTACTGATATATGTATAGCTATTATCCTTATTTGTATTAAAATATTTCTTGCCTTTCATGTGTATATATATATATATAATATAGTCATTTTATTTATTTGGTTAAACTGATATTATTATTTTATTTTATTTATTTATTACTTATTATCATATTATTTATATTAGTTACGTATACCTAATTTATATATTTTATATACGTATATAAAATATCATATGTATGTATATATGTATTTATCATTTTTATTTTACTTATCTCTGTTATTTGTTCACACCCTTCCACTTCACACTTTGCTATATCCTACACCTAAAGGTTGCCTGGAAGAAATCGCTGTTTTAGCGATAAGGCCGCCTCTTGTGCATTTTGCTACTACTGTATTCTTCTTTTTTTTTATATTTCTTCCTATGTTGTGTGTGCAATAAAGAGTTTTATTATTATTATTACAGCCAGTACTACCCATTAAAACCCAACAAAACCTTCCCCCGTCTTAATGGGGCGTCGCAGGATCGCTTACGCATTCAACTACGACGCCCCGACGGCAGGTCTGCCAAAGCAGACCACCACAACCATGGGGTTGCTCCAAGGTCCACTCTGCTATCAGAGAAGTACCAGGAGCAACCCGCATGGTATACCGCCCCCCGAAGAGGTCCACCTCCCACCGCCCACCGAAGTGGGCAACCTCCCTGTGCGTTTCTTAGCTTCGCTACTACTACTGAGCCCCCCCACCACGACAAGGTGAACGCACGTTGGGGGGGAAGAGATAACCATCCCTTGACATCATGAATCTAAATAATAAATAAAAACTTCGCTTGCAGTTGGTCAAGAGCCTTTTTTTATTTAAACAATAATAATTTATTTCAGATTTATCGAACGTTTCATATTCGAAGGGGAATTAGATGATATATTCAACGAGTTTTTCATAAGAAAGGACAATCAGTACGTGAATTCTCGAACGAAACGATACTGGGATAAGGGTTTTCACATAACTTTGACGTGTGCTGTTCCTGCGTTTTTACGGCCTTTGGCTTCCTTTATACTGTTATGTGGAAAATCATTAAGATTGCTCAAGCTCTGCAATCCTAGTGTTAGTATTTTTTTTTATTTAGTAACTAGCATTACCCGCGGCTTCGTTCGTGCTCAAACTTCTGATCGCTACCGAACTTCACAGGATTCCCGCTGTGCTAAGCTGAAAATTTCATCAAAATCGCTTTAGCCCTTTTGACATACATCCATATACATATCATTTTTTTTATATACTCGTATATAGATAGATATACCTCAAAGTAAAGAATTGTATAGACTGAGTCCGCCAAAATAAATGTCAAAGTCAAAAAAAAAATAAAACAAAACCAGATTTTTTTCATTTTTTTTGTTTTATGTCTGTTTGTCTGTTTGTACGGGCTAATCTACGAAACTGTTGGACCGATTTAAATGAAATTTTGCATGGTTACCTTATATCCCCGGTCAACATTTTAGATACTTTCATCCCGGAAAATGAAAGAGTTCTCGTGGGATAGTTAAAAACTATAGTAACTTATACAGCTTAGTACAAAACAACTTCCTAGAGGCGAAGAACTCAAGGGAAGCGAGGGTGAGCCGCTAGTATTATATAAATATTTAAAAATATAATTTTAAGATCTTTAAATAAACAGCATTTTGTTGTGTGTGTAATATTTATAAAAAATACAGAAAACGTTAAGTACACTAGTAATAGGTATACAAATCAAGTTTTTTTATTTGACAGTGTTTTTTTAAACGCTTTATATTTATACTATGTTTTTTTTTAAATATATCTTTTATATAATAGGATCCACTAGTACTACTAATATCATCCGACCATCCGTCTGTCCATTGCTGTGCATCCTTCGAGGAACTGGAACGTCAACAGCAACTATTAGATGTATACAGAACAAGATGTCTGTTTGTCAGTGGAGAACCAGTCACATTTGAACAGATACTGCTAAAGAGAGAGGCTGAGAAGAAGGCTTTCGCTGAAATGGCTTCTTTGAAACAGGCTGAGACTATAGAGAAGATTGTTGGTATGTTAATTTATATTTTTTTAGGGTTTCGTACCTAAAAAGGGAAAAAAAACACTTATAGGATCACTTCGTTGTCCGTTTGTCTGTCTCTAAACCAGCTATACTCAACCTGATTTGTCTACTATTTACTACTATACTATAACATATTTTTCAGCGGAACGAAAAAGATTAGCCCAATTGATAATAGCGGAAAAACAACATTCACTGAGAGTTCTAGAAGCAGCCATCGCTGAGGCGAAAGCGGCTAAGAATAAGTCAAAGAAACGGGAGCGAAAGCTTTGTCAGCTGGAAGAGAACTTGGATAAAACTACGGAGGAAGTAGATTCCAAATTAAAGGATAAGGAAAGGTAGGTAGTATGTTATGCCTTAGTATTTATTTGTTCAAACTTCTAATACTTTACAGTAGACAGTTTTTTTTCCACTATTTTAAAAACAAAGCTTTATTTCTAATATTTATATTCAAATTATATAGATAAATAAATAAATAATAAAAAATACCAGTAGAATTGATATTTAAAAGGAAATAATTCTGTATTAAAATCTCTTTTGGCAAATTGGTCATTTGGAATAATAAGCACTAAATTATAGGTAATGGTAGGCATCTAACAATAGACTGATGAACCAATCGCGCCAGTTTTACTAATATTATACAAAAGTTTGTGAGGGTGTGAGTGATCTACTAAATGATTGAATGAGAGACTGAGTGAGTGAGAAATAAATGTCAATTTTTAGTTTGTGACAAAATTGAAAAAAAAACCATTTCTAATACATAGTTTTAATTTGGTTTTGAAGTTTTGAAGTATATTTTGATTGAGAGACAAAATATTTATTTAGGAAGATTTTTTTTAAGTTGAAATTTAAAAAGAAAAATATTTTTTTATTATTACAGGAGTAAAATAATGGAATACTATTCAAAACTAAACATGGAAGTAGAGAAGAGTAAAATACATACAGAATGGAAAATAAAACGCTTACAATTAGACCAAAGTCGTATACAACTTCTTTCGACAGAGGAAAGAAATTTGAAACGAGAAAAATTAGAATTAGAGCATCAACAAAATGAGTCTATAATGGCTATGTCCATACAAAGCGATTTTAAATCTGAGGACGATTTAGATAATGTCGATAATAATAATGGAGAAGAAGAAAGTAAAACAACCGATTCAACGCCATCCACAGACATTGCAGAAGAAGTTCCAGATATTACAGAACTAGGTAGAAACAAACAGAAGGCCCAGGCTTCAAGTGATGTATTTAGCGCTATATGTAACGTAGCTAAAAGTATATTTGGTACGAAACCAAAAGAAAAATCTCCATGTGATAATAACGTTGAAATGGACACCCAAGGAAATATAATTAACAAAGTGAAGTGTAAAATGGAAACTGAAACGTCTAATGACATCATCGGCGCAAATTTAAACAACACGTTCGACAATATACATTTTCTAGAAAACAGACAGGACGCTTTAAAGAATAAGCACAAAGTTATGGCGCACGAATTCGGTCAAACTGATAGCGAGAATAATAAAATTAAAGACCTGCCACTAGTTAAGACGTCGTCTATTGATTCAGAGAACAATATTGAAGAAGAATGGGCATTCGCTGAAGCAAGGAAGAATAAACTGAAAGTTTTGGGTGCGGAATTCGGTAATGTTAAACCAGAAGTTAAGGAAATTCACGAACCTATAACAGAAGCTCAAAGAGAAGCTTTGATAAATAAACAAAAAGTGTTAGGTGTAGAATATAACCTGCCGTTAGAGAGATTTGCTAAGAAAGAACCAGCAAATGTAGCCCAGGAAGAGGCTATACGAAATAAAAGCAAAGTTCTAGGCTCTGACTATGATATTAACGTGAAAAGTACCAAGTTTGATTCTTCAAGGAAGTCCAGTTTACGGCTGAATTTAAAACCGTACAGTGATACTTCCATTGGTACTAAAACTGTCACAACACCTAATGCTGGGGCGATAACTCCGGGTGAACTTTTTCCGGGGGTGAGTTATATACAAGTACCTACTTTAATTTAATATATCTTATGTAACAATATTTGTGAATATTAAATCGACGTGTGTATGTATGTTCAATATGGACTCCCAAACGGCTGAAGTGGTTGTGATGACATTTTCAGGCAATCTTCATTTTAGCTCAGCAAATGATCCTGTGAAATTTGGTAGCGATCGGAAGTTTGACCGCGAGTGAACTCGCGAGTATACTGCTAGTTTTTAGTACAAACTTAATTTAAATTTTATATACAACTAGCAGAACCCGCGGCTACGCCCGCTTTCAATCTACAAAAAACACTCTTTAGCTTTATGTTATACAGCGACTCAACCTCGCTTCGCTCGGGTTCGTCACTATTACTTATATAATGTTCATACAAAAATACTAATATCGCGTCAAAAAATGGGAGGTGGAGATAGGAGGGTGAAAGATACTTTACGACCTATTCTCATACCTAGCAAATATAGAAAAAAAAAACATTAATATCGGTCGAGTCTTTTCGTAGGAGTGCGACCACAAATATATGGAAAACGGTGTAGACCATTGTTTGATTATTTTTATTATTATAAATTCCCATGATATAAATAACTCTGAGGCTTAATAAAATTAAATGATTCGTATTTCTTACCACGCACGTGTCTTAGTATTGGTATTGTACAATAAAATGGAGCTATTATTATGATCTTTAAAATGACACATATCTCAACTTGATACACTCTGGGAATGGAACCCAGGACAAAGAATATTTGTAATATATTCTGTAATCTTTGTCAGTGGAATAATGTAATCTTATTTTTGTATTTACAGCTGGATTTAGAAACTCCAACGACAGCAGAAATGCCTGTCGAAGGCGCAGTCACTTGTGACATATTCACACCTCATAGTGAAGGCAAAGATTTAGACTCGGCCAAAATAAAACCTGATAAGGAATTTCTCACATCTGATGGATTCAATTTCTCAATTATCGTGGACGACGAAACTGCCGTCACAGATGCCATTAGTGACATACAAACAGATATTAGTTTAGAAAATTCACCATCAAAAAGCGCAGATTATTGCGATCTTCCTATAACAAATAAAACTTCACTTTTTAATATATTGGACGGTTCATATAATTTGGACTCTTTCGATCCATTTGGTGTGAAAAATCTTGGGACGTATTCAAAAGATTATTTCAATAATAAAATTAATGAGACATGTTCGTTTTATACACATCCAGCCATTACTATAGAGGAAGTTCAGAAAAAGCCATATAATAATATATTTGTGCATTCCAACAAGAAAGTGGAAGATAAAATATCTTGTGATAATATAGCAACACTAACGGCGTGTTTGCAAAGATCCGTAATGTTGCCATTAACATATCAGTTGGAGGTTGTGAATAATTCTATTTTAATACATTTCCTAGTTAATCTAGACATGTACGAACATTTGAGAAGTTTAAAAGATTATTTTTTTCTTATGGACGGAGAATTTTCAAGAAGCATATGCCATAATTTATTTGCTAAATTAACGAAAACGTTGAATCCGCAGGAGCTGCTGAATTTTGCGACTTTGCATAATATTCTGGATAAAGCCCTCGGTTCATCTATTTCTCGTAAGTATTCTCATTGAAAAATCGTTGTTGGTAATGAAAACTACGTACCTAATTTCATTTTTTTAAATGATTTATTAATACAGTAATATATATTTGATAAACGTCTGTCTCTACCGAGCAGGAGATCGCGTGTTCGAGAGTCGCGCTTGGAACAATAATTTTTATTTGTAATTGTTTGAATGTATGTCTATGTTTTCTAAGTATGTTTAATAATAGAACACATGGACTGTGCTAGCTGTATGGGTCTACTAGGACTCTTGGGTGTGTTGAGTTAACATCTATACTATAATAAAACAGTAGAGGTCGAATGTGTGTACATGGCAAACAAAATTGCTAAAAACCGAGTCAGGGGGATGTAAGAAGACAAATAGAACAAATCCACATTTTTTTCAAATTTTTTGTTTCTCTGTCTGTTTGTCTGTTTGTACGGGCTAATCTCCGAATCTATTGGACCGAATTAAAATAAATTTTGCATAGTGGTACCTTATATCCCCGGGCAACATCTTAGATACTTAATACTTTCTTAGATTTACGCGAATACTTGACATTTTAAATAAAAATATCTTTTCGGAATTTTTCGCGAATTTATTTTGATTTTTGGTTCCCGACGTTTCGAATGCTTTACAGCAATCATGGTCACGTTCTCTTTGTCTGTTTGCCTGTATGTCTGTTTGTCTGTTTTTGTATGCGCGTTTCACGCGAAAAGTAATGAACCGATTGCAACGAAATTTGGTGAAGTAATAACTTATTACTCGATTCAACGTTTAACATACCTTTTACTTCAAGAAAACCTTTCTCTCACGGGAAGATACAATAACTGGATTTATCGAGTCCTCCCTATAAACCTTCCGCTGGCTAAACCTTAAGACATACATACATAAAAACAATATACTAAAAAATTGTAGGTCTTGAAAAGCCCCACAGGAAAGTTCTGAATAGTATATGTATATCTCCTAAGCAATATCTATTCTTATCGATACCTATAATAAAACTAACTTAGTCAAATCGATGGGCGCGTTTTGCCCAAAAAGTACTGAACCGATTTTAACTAAATTTTGAATAGTGATAACTTAGTACTCGGGTCAACATTTAGGATACCTTTTACGACAGGCAAATTATTCATTCCCACGGGAAAACACAATAACTGGTTCTATCGAATTGTCCTTAGAAATCTATATGGCTAACGCTGGCTCAACCTTAAGAGATAGATCAAAACATTGTACAAGAAAATTTTAAGTCTTAAAAAGGTCGATAGAAAAGTTCTCAATAGTATATGTCTATCTCATAAGGTACACTCGCTATAACTATTTCATTATTATATATTACTGTTTTATTATACGTTATTCTATAAATTTAATAAAACTGTAGAGGTCGAATGTCTGTACATAGAAAAAAATGCTAAAAACCGAGTCAGTTATCTTCTGCCATCCCGTAAGAAGAAAAGTAGAACAAATCCAGATTTTTTTCATTTTTTTTGTTTTTCTGTCTGTTGGTCTGTTTGTACGGGCTAATCTCCGAAACTTTTGGACCGATTTAAATGAAATTTTGCATGATCGTACCTTATATCCCCGGTCAACATGTAAGATACTTTTCATTCCGGAAAATTAAAGAGTTCCTGTGGGATAGTTAAAGAACTATAGTAACTTATACAGCTTAGTACACAACAACTTATGCACCTAATTTAGTAAAATTTGGCATGCTGATACCTTATGTTGCCCGTCAAACAACAGGTTACTTTTCATCCCGGAAAAATGAACGGTTCCCGTGGGAACTAATATATGTCTATTAGTATTTTTCTAAAGGCGAACCCGAGCGAAGCGAGGGTGAGCCGCTAGTTAAAAATAAATATGTTTATTATGTATCGATAGTCGATATCGATGAGTTTCAAAGTCTATAAAGAATTACATTTAATATGAGTTTAGTGGGTTTTAGATCTTAGCCATTTTTAAACACCTTACATATAAATCGTCATACAATCAATATTCGTAGTATGATAAATAAGTTGAATGCGTCGTTCGCCAACGTCCATACCACGTTGAACACACCGGTTCTCGTCCGATCACCGAAGTTAAGCAACGTCGGGCGCGGTCAGTACTTGGATGGGTGACCGCCTGGGAACACCGCGTGACGTTGGCTTTTTTATTAATATGTAACCACTTGTCAAATATCATATTACTATTTTTTTATTAATATCTATACTAGTCAAATAAAAAGTGAACATTTGTTTGTAAAAGATAAAGCCTGAAACTACTGAATTGATTTTAGTCATAAATTCACCATTGGACAGCTTCTACATATTATGTATTTTTGGTGGAAACTTTATTGGCTTTAGATTCGATACTGTGTTAGAATTATATTTAATATTTAAACACTATATTTTTCTCAACTGCTATTGTTAATTTCAGATGTACACAAATTTTCTGAAAACTTATCATTTACAATCACGGAATCACCATTAAGTTTTCAACACAGCTCACCAGATGTATTACAGTGTCTCTCGCTCACTTACTCTGTGAGTTGGCCATTGAATATTATATTATCTCAAGAAGCATTGCTGAGATATGCCAAAGTATTCCAATTTCTTATAAAAATGAGACGGATATTTTGGGTTTTAAGTGAAGATTTTCAGGTGATATTATTGTTTTTAATCGAATATGCGTGTTTTTTTTATTGTTTATACATCGTTGTATAATTGTAAAAAAAATATTCTGCTAAAAAAAAGAATGCTGACTGACGTCGTCGTTGCGTTTCAACTACTTTGAATTTCCCACCTATTTTTGTTTTTTTGTTTAATAATTATTTTTTCTTAAAAAAAATACATAAAAAATATTAATATAGGGTTAATTCAGAAGCAATAAAGATTGAAAAAAAAATTAACATTTATTTTAGTCACACGTATATTCCCTACTCTCTTATAGTGTAATATATATTTATATATAACATCATGTTGTAAACTGCTATAATAATACGATTCAATTATTATTATAGGCCTTAAAACTTTTAGTAAAGTTATCAAAGGACCACTCGAGAAAAATTCTTAAGTCACCACAATACATATCGGTGCAGATATATAGGCATGTAATGGCGTCGTTGATACGTGCGTTGGACAATTATATAGTAACTACGTGCATTCTCACCTCTTGGACGGAGTTTGAAAAGGATTTAAAGAAAGCAAGGACTTTGGATGATTTGTACGAATGTCATGTTGTGTACATAAAAAAAGTTCTCTTCAGATGCCTTTTAAATAACAGATCTACGCCTGTTATGAAACTGTTGAATGATATATTTACTGTGATATTGAAATTTAGTCGCGTTTTAAAGGCTGGGTAAGTTGTTTTTTTTTATAAAGATATATGTATTGTAAAGTTATTTTTTGATATTATTTATTAGATTTACGCGAATATTTGACATTTTGAATAAAACTGTCTTTTCGGATATTTTTTTGATTTTTATTATTTTTATTTATTTACTGGTTTAATTCATTTTTAAATACTTTATAATTATTTTAATATTGTGGATATTACAATATATAAAGCTATTTGCTCCTTAGATATATGTGAGAAAATGTTTACCTCGAATAATGTGTTATAAAAAAATAATATTGATGATGATGATGTGCTCCTGACCGATTCTGGCCACGGCGGCCTATCTCATTGAGACTAGCCAACTGCGCAGGAGATATTATAGTGCAGCGCGTGTACGCGCAGACACAAGTGCACTCTCTATTCCTGTCACTCTCATACTCCGGTGGGACGACTGTTCTACACGACCAGTGAGAGTTAAGGCGCAGGACCGACGGCTTCCCGTGCTCTCCGAGGCACTGGAGTGAAACGCCGCCAACTTCCCAACTCCGAGCTGTTACTGAGACTTACTATACAGAAAGACTCAATAACTAAATTTGGCCCGACCCGGGACTCGAACCCAAAACCTCCGAGTGTGCAGCCGTACATGCTAGCCACTACACCACAGGGGCAGATAAAAAAAATAATATTATAATTTATATTTATACATATTTTTATATTTATATTTAATTTATTTTTAATATATTACAACATAATCGTAATTTTATTTCATATTTTAACAGGGAATGGCAACAACAGGAAGCGAACGGTTGCTTCACACACACGAATTTCGCCCAACTCGATGAATTGTTCCATTTATTCGAGAAACTTGCAAAATATCTACACAAAGTCGTTAATAAACTTATGGAATGTGGATATCAAAGGCATTTAGTTGAATTATTGACCATGGTTAATCTGAATGGATATTATGATCCGGACAGATCTAAGGAAGACACTAACATCAGCTTACAGTCTGCATAAGAAGTCGAAAATAATATTAACATTGTATGTATGTATTCAACCCTTTGTAACTTCCTACTGTTGGGCACGGGCCTCCCTTCAATACGAGTGGGATCAGGCCATAGACCTCCACGCTGGCCAAGTGCGGGTTGGCGGACTGAGCATGTCTTTCGAAAACTTTCTAGGTTCTCTCAGACATGTAGGTTTCATCACGATGTTTTTTTTTCACCGTAAGGCAAGTGGTAATCATATTGGAAATGATTCGCACATGAAAATTCAGAGGTGCGAGACGCGGAAATTGAACCCGCTTCACTCGGTTTCCCAAGCAAACGTGTCAACACTGGACTACCACTGCCTATATTATTAACATTGATTTTATTAACACGTCCAGTTCTTAATGAAGAAGTCTAATAGTCGAGTCGTTACTCAAAGATCAGATTAAGTTTTTCTTGTTGTAGTATTAGATATATATTAGGTGTTATATTATTTATATCATATCATTAAATTAATTAAATAATGAAGTATGTAGATATATTAATTTGTTGTTTTTGAAATTATGAGCATTTTTAGAAAATAATTTTGTTGTCATTTACTAATAAGTACATAATTGTATGATTACGCTTTTGTATGTTGGTGCATAGCTTATTTTGTTAATTTTCACATTATTAATATTATAAATGCGAAAGTTTGGATGGATGGATGTTTGTTACTCTTTTACGTCACAACGGTTGAACGGATCTAGATGAAATTTGGCACAGAGATAGATTATAGTCTGGAATAGCACATAGGTTACTTTTTATCCCGGAAAAACCGTACAGTTCCCGTGGGATAGATTTGTTACATATGTAGAAGTTGAAATTATGTGTATTAAGAAAATGTTTGCCTGAGATGATTGTAATTTTTCAATTTTTTAAATGACATTGTGATATTTTCCCACCAATAAATTAATGTGTATTTCTTTTTCATTGAACGTTATGATATTGATAACATAGTTTTGATACTTACATGACCTGGTCCCGTCAAATAAGATAATTCTTTTATTTTTTAATTTATCATAAAATCTAACATAAGTACACAATAAGCTTTAATAAGTATAATAAAAAATAATAATAAAAATCTTCATTGAAACAAACTGAAGGTCACATTATATAAAAGTAAATTAAAGACAGTGAATATCCGTAAGTAACCTTCCTTGTGTAAGTAGAAAAGAATACTCATATCCAAAAATGTAATAAGTTAATTTTGTATGATTAAAAGTTATCTTTATTTTTTTAATCACTATTACTCATTTCATAATTTTTGTACCGAATAACTTGAATAAACATTTTTTACTACTTAACATCCATAAGTTTGTTTTTTTTTAATAGCCCAACAAAATTTTAATTAATATCTAATATATTTAAACGAGCAATTCTTGTATATTTATTTATTTATACCGGCGATCTCGGAAACGTCTCTAACGATTTCGCTGAAATTTGATATGTGGGGGTTTTTGGGGGCGAAAAATCGATCTAGATTAGTCGTATGTCTTATGTTTTCCTTTGCATTATTCCATGCAAAATATGTTCGCTAATTTCGCACGCTCGGGAAAAAGCATCTTGTTGAAGTCTGGGTTCGAATCCTGGTCGGATACAATTTTTTTACTTTTTTTTGTATTTTTTCAAGTTTTTAGTTTTTTTTTCAAAAAGAAAATTATACTCACGTCCAAAAACTCCGAGCAGTGCTCGGTCGCCCAGGTACTTTTGAGAAAACGAGTGGTGTTACTACTCGAATAGAAAACCTTTTCTAAATTGTACCTTTGTTTTAAAAATAACGATTTAAAATATATGTAGTATGAAATTATTTAAGATATGCTAAAGTAAGTTAATAATCTAAACATCGTCTTGTTAATAAATATTTACTTAAATATACTGAAACTGAAATATCAATAATAATTTATAATTACACCATCTCACAGTAATTTAAAAAAGAGTTTTTCTTTTTCCTCCCACAATTAACATAATAAAGTTATGTCGGTGGAATTTAAAAGATAATGAGTGCAGTGACATCTAGCGGTAATTTAGTGAACTGATAGGACTTGTTCCGAATAATGATTTTGAAGAAATAGATTGACATTGATTTCGAGGAAATCATAAAATGGTTAAGAAATTACAGAAATAAAAATATTATACGTTTCTCCTCTTTTATAGTTTTCGTTAGTTATATTTTTATGTGAAGATTCTAAATTTCTAATAAAATTTTCACGTAGATTGTTAATCACGCCATCTATTGTGCGATAGAAAATACGTTGTATAGCTATGCCATCTGGTAGTGAATAGCTTGTATTATGTATGTTCGTTTGTATTTTAAAAATTAAAGTGTTATACAGGTGTATAGTGTATTTAATCTTTATTTTATTTTTATCTTAATCAAGAACTAAACATAGTGAGGTAATAATGTAATGCTTTATGGTCGTACAAAAAGAAAATTCTGTTTACATTTACGTCCGCTGCGACAGTGGTGCCATTATTTTCCTTATATTCAGGGTGTGTTTTCACGAATACTTCATTCTACAGCAATTCGTCCTAAGGTGAACATCCGAACTTAATAGTTTCAACGTGTGTGACATTGAAGTGAAAGCTTGTGCATTCTTCCTAAACATCTATAAATAGGCAAAATTTACCTATTTAAATTACAAATTCAATAATATTTATATAAACTGAGAAAATTGAACTATATATACAATATAATTTGAAAATAGTGAAAAGTACTCTAGCAGCTATTTACAGCTATCGATCGGCATACAGTTTTTTGTGAACTATAATTTTCAGCGCCGACTATACTTTAACAAAAACGTTAAAAGCCGAGAGTCACCGTTACCGCCGCCGAGATGGCGTTCATGATGCCAGTAGTCAAGAACGATTGGGACATTTACAATACGCAACGGTCGCGTCGGACCTCAGAGTCCGCGGACAAGCCTGGTATAGGAGGCCGTGTTCGGAAGGTTTCAGAGTCACGGTCAGAGGGGCCCGTGCTATCTCCACGCAGTGCAGCCCTGAGCCCGCACCGGAGCGCCCCCACTATGCGCTCGCTGTCCTACTGCCGGGTACCGCCATCGAGAGCATCTCTTCGAGTGTACGAAAACCAAAAGACTTCGGGTAGTCCACCGTCGCGGGATTCGGAAAAGTTCCACAGCAGGTTGGTGGAGAAATTGAAACGGGCGTTTGGTCGCTCTGAATCGCGGAACGACGAGAGAAGTTCGTGAAATAACCGGGCGTGCTTATGTGCAGGGCATACGCGGAGTCCCCCGAGCGACACTCGCGCTGTGGAGCCTGTATGCCATACCTGTGATGACCGCCCGCGTCGGCACTCCGTCTGTGATATGTACGGGATACGCAGTTGAGTACTGAATGAGTTGACGGTTGACCGAGGATGGACACTAAACGTAACCTAATGCAATAGTATTATTAGTCGTCATCCCTTTGGTTCGCTTCTAACGGCATGTTTGTTTTTAAATTTAAGGTTGTTGAGAGGTTGTAAGTTGTAACAGGGCTGTATGAAGACTGCAATTAGTTTAAGAGGAATCCGGGACTCTACGATTAAGTTTCCGATGACCGAGGTTCAGTAGTTGTGGCAGTTAGCGATCGGTATCTGTGATTTGTTATATATAAGTTGGTGTTATTTATTTTAAAAGAAAAGAAGTACCTTCATAATTTATATTTCCTAAGTAGTGAGCATTGTATTAATTAAATGAAGTATTACATAATTATATGAATAATAATGAAATTCATTACAATCTGCAACTCTCTTGACAATAGAGTAGACAATTATTTGTAATATTTAATTAATGTTTAAACATTGATTTACACTATTCATTAAAATTTTACTGAAATGTATTTGAATGAACTTTAAATAGGTATACATGACGTGTATGTTTACTTCTATTTTAATTACATATTTTAAACATAATTTATAATGTAAGAACAGTGATAGATTATAGCCATGAATGTGACTTGGGTGCGTCCCGTAAATTATATTATGTAGATTTTAAAGTATTTTTTGTTACATATTGCATGATTTTATGTGATGTTAAATATGACTGTGTAAATGGACCAGCTTTATTAAACTTAAGAATTTCAGTAGAACTGATTGTGAATGATAAACGTAACGTGTTTTTATTCTAAATGTAAAGCATATCTTGATAAGCGAAGAATTAAAAATTCAGTATTTGAAGGTTTCTGCATGTTAAGTTCCTGTGTTACATAAAAACTGCCGTATCTCTGACTTTGCCAGTTCTCTATGTTATTGATCGAGTGTAATAGTTTCGATAAAGTTGTGTTAATTAAAGCTGCATGTAAACTGCATTGTCTGACCTGATGACTTTTTAAAATATATTGCTTATCCTAATCTCATGTTTTATTATCCTTTCACCTGTCATTCCAATTGTTTAATAACTATAAATAAAACAATAATATTGCTATAATGTAGAGCTATAATGATAACTTAATTTATGAATACTTTAAATTCTTCACTTTTAGGTATAATCATAAAAATATGATGTTATTTAATACAATTATTTAGTGTTGGTGCGATATGTAATTATAACTCAATTCGTAACGGTAATTATAATCGAATTATCGCGCTCTACATTTCAGTAACAAAGATCTAAAATTCTTTCGAACATCCTTTTAAGTACGAGTATATTCCTTACGCTCTTCTAAGCATATTAAAATAAAATGAGTAAACGTGGACGCTCTAACAGAGCGTACGTAAAGCAAGGGAGAATAACTAATAAAAATGAAAATGCTATTATCTAAATACTTTAAAACAAGACCAAATAATCCAGGGTTTTGTAATTATTTCGTATTTTTGAAAATTTTACATGATACAAAATCATATTGATTAAGAATTCTTTAGTTATCCTTGCATTTTTAGGTTTTTCTTATAGGTTTTACGTTAATATAGATTTTACGTGAACCTACACTACGTATAGATTAAAAACATCAAGACTATCATTTTTATATCTCATTTTTATAACAAAATATTAAATGCCTAAAATACTTCTACACTACAATTTTTTGTGACACAAGATTTTGATGAGATGAGGTTATATTTGTTCATTGGAAGGCTGAGTGTAGAGTACTAGCTGCATCGATCCTCAGCGAGTACGCGCGGAATGTTCGAGAACGCTCTAGGCTTAAAAGGGTGGGGTGCTTCCCGCGTATTATAACATCTGCAGGTGCATGTACTGAGCGAATATTCATTCAAGTTTCCAAAGGGATTGAAGCTTATAATTTTGCCGTATTACAATCAAAATATGTCTTTTTTAATGTTTATCATAATAATTTAACTTTTTTATTTTCTGTTATGTATATTTCTATTTCATTGTAATCTATCTCACATAATACATTACACTTTCTTAGATTTACGCGAATATTTAACGTGACCTCATGGTCTCTCCTGTGATCATGATTGCTGTAAAGCATTCGAAACTTCGGGAACCAAAAATCAAAATAAATCCGCGAATAAATCCGAAAAGATAGTTTTATTTAAAATGTCACTTAATCCAATTTTACTTATTGATAGAAAAAGTTAAAAGGTAACAAAGTTTCGCTTTCGTAATAAAATAAAGTACCTATTAAACGAGACATAATAAAAAATATATAATTTCTCCTACGCCCTAAGGTTGCCTGGAAGAGATCGCTTATAGCGATAAGGCCGCCTGCTGTGCATCATCTATTGTTTATATCTTCTTTTTGTATATTTATTTGTGCTGTACAATAAAGCATCTATCTATCTATCTAAAAGGTAATATTTAGGATTTAGGGAAGTACTTATGATTTAGTATCTATATGTAGCATTTATCGAAAGATTCTTTCACTTTCAACAAGGAGGTATCTTAATAACCGGTAAAAAGGATATAAATAATTTGATCATTATCGACATTACGGAGAAATGATAATATGAATCACATCTATCTGATTAAGTTCGAATTGCTCAATATTTATAATTAATATTTTTTTATATAAAGAACGCAATAAGTTTATCAAAACAATCATAATTTTTCGTTATGGTGAAATTGTAGTGAATATTTTCATTATATCCAAGCTTAATTTAATTTCTGCACATTATTCACAGTTTATTGGAGTGGAGTGTGGTTTACAAGCATTTTGCTATCGTCAATTTTTACACTTAAATTAAATATTGATATTGTAAGTCCGCGAGGAATACTTTTAACTTTTTTTCATGACACAACAGGAATAATACTAACAACGTTTTCTAGTATTAACGACTATAAGTACAAAATATACGTAAGCTTCCATAGAGTTCTTGTTGAAACAAGTCGTTCATTAAATACTGAAGTTGAGCTCCAATAGAACACTAAAGCAAGTGACTTACGTCGTGAGTCATGTTTCAGTGTACCGCCTCCGCCTAATGTATTGATAACAAAAATTTCCATGATTGCTTTGAATTCCGTCTTAAGGAAAAACAGTGACATAATCGCTATCTTGAATTTTTAATTTACGGAATACCTATACAATCTAAATTATTTAAATGTATTTCTCTAATAAATTTTCCATATGGGTTTGTGATGTAGGTAAGTCTGTTTCCATCTACCTATACAGATAATAAAATTGTAACTAAGCCGAATGTGTACGTTAAATATTTTTTGGAAAATCTTATTGAAATAAACATTATTATCGATACAGAGGTCGAATCTATAGTTTTTAGAATTTTTGCCTGTCTGTCTGTTACCGCATCACAGAAAAACCACTGGAGGGATTTTGATGAAATTTGGTATAGTGATAGCTGGTTATCCGGGTCAACATATAGGATACTTTTTACCGAGTGAAAATGACTCATTTCTGAGAAAAAATTCAAGAACTGCAATGTAAGAGTATACTAATATGTAAAACCTAAGAATTTGGTTTTTGGTCATCTGAACTCGGGCGGAGCCGCGGGCAATGCTAGTTAAACTATAAATAATGCATAACATATACTTTATTTTGGAAGTATTTAGATTTGTTGTTGAAGAGTCCTTATTGAAGAAAAAAACGATTTATTAACTAAATAAAAAAAATAAAAATCCTCTAAACACATAGAGCCAGAATAAAGTATACTTATTTTTTTAATAAAAGACCATATTTTTATACCTTATTCCACGGTATTCTCACTATAGATAAAAGTTATCAAATAAAAAAGTATGCTTTAAAAAGACTTTTCTTAAGGGATTTTTGGCTATTAGTAAAGATAGAGTCATTGTAAAAGGTAACACGAATACTATTTTTGACAATAGTGGGCAAAAGAGTATGAAATTGGCTCACAAGTAAGACTTCTATTATACCATAGTTTTGTATTATTTAAATTTGGTAATAGTGTGTACAATGTTAAATTGCTAAAAAGTAAGTATGAGTTGACCAAAAACTGCGAAATAGGTTATATCAAGCGAGCAATACATATAGGTACTACGAAAGTATATATTAACTCATTAACAATTTTATCATAATAAGTAAGCCACATAGACGTCAGTGCCACAACCACTTGATACGTCACATTTAGAGCAATAAATATAAATTAGCATGTACATACTATCGTATCATTTCATTTAGTAATATTAGCGAATATAAATTACTGTATATTGTGATCTATATATATTATATATATATTTAAGTAGTAATACAAAAAATCGTTCAAGTGCGAGTCAGCTTTACGTTATAGGTTTCGAACTGCTATACCTATGTACTTGTACTACATAGGACTCTATTGTTGATGAGAGGTTGACTACTGCTAGTACGAGTTTGATTCACACTTTGCTAGTTTGTATTTTTTTCTTTTTGTCGTTTTAGTTCATTTTAGTACTATAATGAAATTTTTAAATGAGATCGTCACTAAGATTATATGTTCTACCATTTTTATATTAGAGCATAATCAAAAGTCTTAAAATCCCTTTTTACACGAATACTTCCCTTAATATATATATTACAAATTAAATTACTTTTCGCCATAATAATACGTATTATATAAATGTCACTTTTAATTTGTATTATGGGTTTTAGAATATAGCATTTTGTTGGATCAGCTGTGTTGAAGCCTATACTTAGGCTTAGAAGCTATAACACAGCGATATAATATGTAATAGTTTACTTAAATACTTAAGTAAGGTATTATACCTTTATACGTAAGTAATATAGTTTAGACTTTAAAACCTTTCGTGTATGCACCTAAAAAAGAACATTGAAGGATTTAACATTATTATGTACTTTGATTGGGTAGTAAAAAAAGCTTAGGTAGTGTGGCACTTTTGATTTTCCGCTTTACGCCGGAACTAAGTTAATGTGTTAGGTGGT